TATTTTATTGATTCACAAAATTTAAATGGTATTAAATATATCAAGATAATTTAATTTGAATATATTTTGACAGATATTAGAATGTTTATTTAAATAAAGACATCATTTCATAGGATGTTTAACAATTTAAAATTGTAGAAATAACTAATTAATCACTAATCTAAGCAAATATTATGAATAATTCTTGTTTTAAATATTTTCATTTAAAGCTGCAATAATTTTAGTATTACTAAAATTTTACTGCAATTTCTCATATTTTAAGACCAAGTCACTTATATCCTGGTTTTTCAATTATGGAAAATTGATTTTATGTATTTAAATAAGCTACATCTGTGAAAAGATCATTATATATTAAAAATTATTTACAGTATTTAAAATATATTAAATTTAAATTTATAATAGGTATAATTTCACAGAAAAACATTTTTTACATATATATAATAAAATTGGTCATTTATTTATTTACAATACAATTATTATTATGAAATTTCAATTAAGCAATATTGATTTGTAGATTAAATTTTACTTTGGGCGGATGAGAAAATTTTACACATAAAATTTAGTTTTCAATCCACAAATAAAAAAGAGATACTGTTGATGAAATTAATATTTACATTTTTATATGAATGTTTGTTTTTTATATAATTTAAATCAACTAGTCAGGAGAGTGCTCAGCCTAGACAGATAAATTTCACTTTATAATTAAATTCAAGAGATTGGTTATAATGTTTGCTGTTAAAATATAATTTCTAAACTGATTGATTTTCATAATTTATTATTATATAGATAATAAAACTTGAAATTTAGTTTATCAGGCAAATCAAATATAGAATTCTTTTATAATTTGTAAATAATATTCATGAATGTCTAAATTTAATAAAAATAAATGAAGGATATAATGTAACTATATTCCAAATTTGAAAAATAAAATAATTAATTCACAAACATTCTTGCTATTTATTTAGGTTGGTATTTTTTACATTTTTTAATTGTCTCATAATTTATTAAAAGTCATTCTTACTAACTACTTTTTAGCTTTTTTTTCATGATTTGTAATTTAAATCTAAAAGAGCAAAAAAATTTTATCAAAATGAAATAAGGAAAGCATATGGATTTAGGATAAAAAAGTAAAATATATTCAACATACATTCTTTTTGATTTTGCACAAAAATAAATAAAATCATCAAATTTTATCTGGATACATTTTTTAAAGTAGATTAAAAGATTATTAAGTTTACTTGATGTTTGTTATATTATGATTATAGTATTCTTCAGTTTTTGTAGCTATAGTAACACCTAGCTTTTAGAAATGTAATCTAATGAATGCAATTATTTTAAAAAGAATTTTGTAAAAAAAGAATGAGTTATTACTTTGTTAAAAATATTAATTAGCATGTAAATAAAATATGTATAGTAAAAATAAATTGTATTAAAGCAATAGCTTATAGTTAGAAGTTATTAGATTAAAAAATTTATGGTTGAAAATAATACTTTATATAAATTATAATTTTCTTCTCAATTTAAAAATATTAAGCATAGTTTATTTATTGAAAATATTTAAATTCTTTTATATCTGGTAAAGAAGAAAAAAAATTTATAGACATTTAGTAAAAATAATTTGTATTGAAATCATATCATACATAGTTAGAAGTTTTGATATTAAAAAATGTTTGATTGAAAAGTAGATATGATTTTATCCTCAATTTAAAAAATATAAAGTAAATGCAGTTTATTTATTGAAGATAATAACGCATTTTCAAGGAAGGTGAAAAAAAATTGAAAAGAAATTATTACTAGTGTTTCCATAAATTGAAAAATAAAAAAATAATTAAAGATTATGGCAAGTGATATCGCTAATTGATAAAAAAACTATAATGTGAATCAGTTAAAGAATAAGTGAGTGAAAAGTTAAAATTTTTATATTTAATTATCCTTAGATAAATCAGGCTTGAATAATAATTAAAAAACAGTTGATATTAATCATTAAAAATACCACAAAGATGCTTGAAAATTATTTATTTTTTAACAAAATATATTAAAATAAATATACGTCATTAAAATAATACAATGTAACTTTAGAAGTTCTATATTTAAGTTGATTTTATAGATGAATTTTGTTATTATAGAAAGATCATAACCATTATTAAAAATGAAAAAATAAATAATAAATTATTAGTTTTAAGTATTTAATTGAGATGATTTATTAAATTTATTCAAGAAGTAATCTTTTTTAAAAATGTTCCTTCACTAGAAATTTTTGTAAATATCATAAAATCAATAAAAAAACAACACTAATTCACTTTCAAGAGCATATTTGAAAATAATTATACTATTATAAGCTTTAGTTATTGAATTTGCAACCAGGCCTATATAATATAAGGTTTTACTGGAGATTAAATTTTCATAATAATTACTAGTTTAAGCTTATTTAAGGTATTACAAATCCTGCTTGCTTTACTTTTTTTTTGATTTTAATCAAATTTAATCGTAAAAGTATGGATAAAATAACAATAAATAATTATTATAAAAATAAATGGCTGGTTTAAATTTAAACATGTTAGGCTGAACGAATATTATAATTTGTGGCGTAACTCTTTTTATTTTATCCTTAAACTAACTTTGTTTCGTTTTTTATAGAAAATATGCTAAATACTAATTAAAAGAAAGTTTAAAACAAAATAAAAAAATTTTAAGGTTAGAATTCGTATCAATAATTACCATGCAAAAAAGAAACAAAAGTGTTTTTAATTAGATAGATATTGTTAACTTCATTAACTAAGTTATCTTATTCAGAAATTACAAATTATTTTTATTGTAATCTGAAATAAGTCAATGTATTTATTCATGGGATTACAAACTCCTGCCTGGTAAATCAATCACGTCCAGTGATGGAAAAATTATTATTTAATTAATTTCTTTCTTTATAAATCCAATTTGTTTCTAATACAAAAGAATATAAACAATAAATTATCAAAAAGAAATCAAATAAATTTCAAAATAATAACTAATAATAAAAAAATCATTAAAAACAAAATGAGCAGCTTTAATAATTCAAACTACTTTTTCTAATCTAATTAAGATATCTAATCATACAGCTAGATAGATAACTAACTAAATATTTAAATCAACCCTAAACTATTTTATGGCTCTGAAACAAGCATAGCATAAATTTCTGATGACCTCAACACTGGATTAACTAGTTTCTGCGCTTAAAAGAACATAAATCAACTACAAGAAAACTTAAGTTCCCCTGAATCAGGATCTCAATTAAGAAGCAGTTTTGCCTCCAACTAATCTCACTATTCTTCTGATTCAAGCAGAGAAGTAGAGATGGCTTAGTTTGGCTTTACTAAAATAAATTAAATGGAAATTGAATCAGAATGTCTTACTGTTTCAGACGAAACTAAAGTTAATTATTCCAGCCCTTCATTCTAAATCGCCTCTTAAGCTCATTTGATTCCAGGTGATTATCTCATTGAATTTAACCAATTAGAGAGTTTATTATAAATAAATGCTGGAAACTAAGTTGATTTTAATAATTCCTAAATTAACACATGGAAAAAATGCATCTAAATTGAAAAAGATTAATCTGAGAATGGATGTTTCTACGTTTCATTGGGACAAAAAGAGGACAGCTACCCAACTTAAATATATGAAGCCGCCTAAATTATTTAATCCTTGAAAGAGAAGAAGTTATTAATCTCTAACTAAATGAGAGAAGAAGAAAGTTAAAAATTTGAAAACCGCATTCAAATGATTGAAAATATATTAGAATCTGTATCGAAAAAATCCAACGAAGCTTAATAATTGCAAAACTAAATTAATTAATAAGCTTTTTATGAAAATTATTAATTATCCTTAAAAAAGGCAAAGAATATCATGAGAGAAATTGTAAATGCTAATGGATCAACAAAATCTTTTGTTTTTGCTTAAATAAAAGCTTTCAACCCAAAGAGCCTCTCTAAAGAAATAACTTAAATGATCTATTCCCCTAAGCTAGTTAAAATATTGTACAATGAATCAGCAGCTGATAACCTTTTCTACAATTAAATTTTGAGAAAAGGTATAATCGAAATGTTTGATTCATAAGGTCATTTACTTCTTAATTCTTTAGAAATAGAGAAATCAAGTGAAGTTGATTTGTAGTCTTCTTAGTCTTTAAAAAATCAGAAAATCAGTTTAACATTATACACATCTGATAACTTTTAAGTACCAATTACTGTTACCTTAAAAAAGTACAATCTTTCATAAGGAGACTAAATTTAATGCAGCGCTGTTGACCATGAATTACTAGTTTTTGATATCAAAATCAAAATTAAGTACCAAAAGCAATTAAAAACTATGCGTAATAACGCATAAGAGCTCCTTATCAAGAAGAAAATTTGCAAAAAAAATTCACCAACTGTAGGAAAAAAGATGTTGAAGAAAAAGGCAAACGGCAACCATAAATCCAAGTCTTAGTCTGACTGTTAGTGCAGTAGTTGCTAAACAAACTAAACAGAAAACTAACAAGAATATTTTGGATACTACTTAGAAACCCTTGGATTTTTAAATAAATTTTATCCAGAAAAACTCTAAAGTGATAGCGATAAATTTGATTTAATTTAATTGAGCAAATGACCCAATCAATTGATATGCCTCCTTCACCCTTTTTCATAATCAATCTCACTTTTTATCTCAGTCTCACAATTTCTCTATCTTCTCAAAAGTGCTTGATATTCAAAACCTTCATCCTAAAACTTCACCCTTTCCATTCTAAAACTTTAATCTTTCACCCCAAACAGCGAACCTTCTAGTATTACTATTTACCATCACATAATCTAAAATTAGGTACTCAGAATAAAAAGACCAGCCTAATCTTTAAATTTTGATGAGCCTAAATTAAATTATAACTTTACTGAGTTAGAATTATACTTTTGCAATAGTAAAAGCTAGGTCAGGTTTTCAATACTTTTTAACCTTTCAAAACTTTAATAACTTTAATCTAAACCTCCCCTATACAAAAAAATAAATATAATCATAATCCATTCAAATAATTCAGTATTTAACATACAATTCATTAATTAATTCATTCATACATATTATATGTTCTATTTCTAAATTCTATTCTTAAAAAAAAAAACCAAAAAAAACCCTCATATTTTATTTAATTTATAAACCATTAATGAATTTATTATATTTACATAATAAAAAAAATGCACTAATTTCATTTTATTATCAGTAAAAATTGTGGATATAAAATTTTACCACTAACAAAAGTAATTTAGTTAAGAATTATCATTTCTAAAAAAAATACATACTATGAAGTTACAATTTTCTAATACATTTGATAATTAAATTAAAAAAACAATTTCTAAGTAATATTATTGAGAATAGAAATATAATAATAAGCTGTCTTATGTAAATAATTTGACTTTAATGGACTAATTTTATCTAAGGTTTGAATAAATAAATCAAAATAAAACTTTGATAGTAACAAAAATGCAATTGAATGTAAGAAATTTTTAATATCCCGTTCAATTACAATAAATATAGCTTAAGAATATATGACTCTATTTTTCTTCATTTTCTTGAATTATAGAAGATGTAATTATTTTTAAAAAACTTGCTTAACATATAAAGAATTAAATATTATTGAATATATAAAAATTTGATTAAATTATTGTTTTCCTCTATTAAATATGCTTATTAATTATTATTTATGCAAACGATTATAATTTATATAAATCATTTACATTAAATTCTTCTGTAACGAGTAAAATGTACTATTTTTTGTTTGTTAATATTTTTGATTTTATAATTTACTAAATTAATAAATATAAACTAATATAATAACACAATAATTGGTTTAATTGTGCTTAAAAAATAATGAAAAATATTCATAATTTAATTGGTATTATCTTTGGGGAGTTTTAATGTATACCAAAATCAACTTTGAAAAAGATATATATATTTTGTATTTTTTCAAAAAATAAATAATAGACAGGAATAATTCAATTTAATGATAGCTTTTATAATGAAAATATTGTAGGTATAATTTAAATTATCATGCTATTTAATTGGAAATCAGAGAGTTAAAAATGAAGGTCGGCTATTAAAGTTATTAGAATTAGATATTTATTGAAATAAATACTTAAAATATTGCTAAATTATATTAATATGATTCTCCTGTATCCATCAATCCCCCCTCCTTATATTATTACCTAAAATATTAATTTAATACAGTAAAGTTTGATAAAGATATTTTATATCATATATGAAAGTCTATAATAACCAATTAAAATATAAATGACGCCTTAAATTAGCGAATTATAAAAGATTTTGTATTATTTAATTGTGATGTAAGACACTTATTATATTGTTTATTATTAGAGACAGCTTTAGAAACAATTTATAAAAATAAAAATAAGTAAATTTGTTTATTTAGACTCAATAAAATATAAATTTGCTTTTAAAAATACTAATTTCAGGTTTCTTATTTGTCAACCAATTTTAAAATAGATTTACTTTTTTATGCTTAGTTTATAAAATCTTCAATTAATTGCTTTTCTTTATTAAAAAAATCATTAAAGATTTTATTTGAAAATCAGATACTATCTAAACTAAAATAATAGTTAATAAGATTTATAAATATTTAATTAAATATTCACTTAATTCTTTGCTTAAATCAAATATTTTTTTTAAATCTTTCTAAAAATAGTTAATTTTTTCTTTTTTAGAAATTAAATAAAATTTTGTTTATTTTTAAATTGAGACAACTATTTTTAATTTTAATGCAAAAAGAAGCAAAAGTAATTAAAATAATCAAAATAATTAATCTTTATGATGGAAAAAATTATTCATTTATTTAGCTATTTGGATTAAGATTATTCTTAATTTATTTTAAATTTGTATTAAATATTGAAATTATCCTTTTAATTAATGTTATGTATACTAAATTAAAATAAATATGTCTTGTGATTTATTATTCAAATTTTATTTTTTTATTTTGATTGGTGTTATTTATTTTATGCATGTTATTTTTTATTTTTTTATTTTCTTTTTATGTTTGATTTTTATTTGTATTTATTTATTTATTTATATTTTTCATTATTTATTTAATTTTTTTTATTTAAATATTTATCTTTTTTATTTTTTTTATTTTTAAGATCATATCTACAAAATCTCAGAAGCTCGCAAAATATTGTATTTATATCTATCAGATACAGAATCTCTCTGCTGCTCGGTTGCTTTTAGTTATTCATTCAATCTGATTCTATTAAAAAATACTAATTATATATTTTAATAAATTATTGGAAAACTTATTATTTAAGATAAGCTTTTATATTTGAGTTAAAAACTATGGCGAAACTATTGGATCGCATAATGATAGCAAGCTTAGATAGCATGTTATCCCAGTTGATTTAAAAACTTTTATGATTTAAAGCTTATTCCTAAATAAATAAGTAAAAAATGAGATTAACTCATTAAAAAAAGAATTTATTTTTAATTTTCTTCATCATTATTTTTGTAATTTTTTTTTTCTTTTAGTTAATTTAATTTTTTTATAAAAATTTGAATTATTTTTCCCTTTTTCCCTTTCTTATAAAAAAAGATAAAATTTATAAATTCATAAAAGAAAGTTTAATAAATATTTAAATTTGATATAAATTCAGATAATATTTCTCCGCATTTTTTAGCTTTTACTCTTTTTTTAAAAAATAAAAATCTAAATTAATAACAAAAATTTTATACTCTATCTAATAATTTAAATATGAGATATTAATTTTTATACTATAAAATCGAAACACTAGTCCAAAAGATATATAATTAGTTATGATATGAATTGGATTGTCCATTTTGTTTTTTAAAGTACTCGCAAACTTCTTTAAATATTTTGCTGTAATAAATAAATAATGCATTTCATTGAAAAATTTAAGATTCTATCTTACACTAACAATTAAAATATTTCCATTTTAAAAATCTTCTAAATTAATATTTAACTAAATTTGTTTCAAGCTTATTTGCTTATCCTACTACTTTTAGCTAAGAAGATCCTTTAACAATAGATTTTTTGCTTTATAGTACGAATGCTATTCGATAGTGATAAGCTAATTTAAAAAATATCACTTACATATAGGTAAACTGATTATAAATCTTCTATTGTTGTTTATGGTTTACTTGATATTTTTTTTATGACGGAATCATATAAAAAAGAGGTGTACTAACTTATAATTTGTTGAACTACTATAATACTCAAATTGTATTAATTCTTAAATTTATCATTCAAATTACTGAATTACTAAATTGTAGAATTTGAATTTTAAGCGAATACTTGTTAATCATTAGAAGAAGAAAAATAGTCATTTTTTTAAGACTTTTAGTAAATTATACCATTACCAACTGCTTCCAATACTTATGCATACGATTATAGGCAAAATTTATAGTCAGATGAGAATTATTTTTGACAGATTGACTAAAATGTGCTATTTATTAGGGAGTTAACCTTAATAAAAATTTATAGTGCAAGTTTTAGAGAGATTTAAATCAATTTCTATTTCTGGTGAAATACATATATTAGAACAAGTATTATTATATTTTTTTAGATTTAAATTAAAATAGATTTAAGCATTATTTATATTTTACTTAATTGTTAGTAAAATAAAAAACCATTTATTAAGAAATACACTGATTTAGGCATTATACTTCCTAGTTAGAATTATGTAAAAATAATTTTAAAAAAACTTTAAAAAACTTTTAGTTATAAGTTTAAACTATAAATTCATCATTAGTAATATACTATTAGGAACATATTTTAGCTATGCACTTGTTTTAATTTTAATAAAATAATTCTCCTTTTTCGAAACTATTAACATACATTGTGTTATTTTAATTGATTTTAATAATTTTCATTTAATTAATAGCTAATTTTTTAGAATTTTAGGTAGGAAGTATAGAATATTAAATGATTTTGCTTTTAGAGTATATTTGCCATATTTAAAAAGATAATTTTTGAGAATAAATTTTATTTTATAATAAAAATTAACAAAATTATTTAATTTACTTTGAATATTTAAATTATTATCATTTTTTCAAATTAAAAATTTGTAATTATTAATAAAAACGATTTTATTTAATTTTTTTGTTACCAAAAAGGATATTTTAAATTTAATTTTAACAATTAGAATTATAAATTTGATTTAAAGCTATCTATTTTCTCTTAACAAATGAAATTTATATTTTAAAGTTATACTATTCAGAAAACTATGTTAAATAATAGAAGATGATTTATCTTGTATAAAATATTTGATTCTGATAAAATAAGGTATTATTTAAATACATTTATTTTATTACTAAAATTCAATTAATTTTAATTTTGTTTAACTTAATGATTAACATAATTTCTTTTCTGGTTTTGTTTTTATTTACTATTATTTATTCACTAAAAATAATAATAAGTTAAAAAAAATATTAACTAAATTTCAGTTAAACAATTTTTTTAAATGTAAAAGATAAAAAAACTAAATAATTCAATTTATTTCATTATTTTGGGTATATTTAAAAAGTAATTCATTTAAATTTGATCTATTTTAAAGTGTAAAAATTATTCAATAGTGAGAAACAAATACATAAAAAATATAAATTTACTTTAATTTTAAAAAACTATATAGTATATATATAATAATATCATTCAAATAAAATTTAATCTAAAATGATTGCTTCATCCTTTTTAACTTAATTTTGATTTTCAGTATCTCCTTTTTCTGCTTATTCAGTAATCAGGTTATTTGTTTATAAAGTTTTAGGTTAGTTGAGTTGGATTAATTTTTTATAATTTTTTTTGTGCCTTATATAGCTTACAACACAAACACTTGTTAAACCTACAAAGGCAAAACAAGAAAATGCTATTCCAAATATTTGCACTCCTGATAATTCTTTAGTACTCTCATCTTCAGAATTACAATATTTTTAATCAACATGTAAGCACTACTCATCATAATAAATTGATGAGCTATACGATATTTGGCATGCAATCTATCCATTTTAAACTTAACCTTAGCTCCAAGTTAAGACCCCTTACTCGTTATAATTTTAGCATATAAGTTTATTTGGGTTTTAATCTTACTTAATGGCATACATAATTTAGAATGATTAAGACTACTATAGAATTCTTTACTATGATTAAATGGATTTTACATTTAATAAGAACAGAGGTTACTTTTATGCACAACTATCCTATTAGCAATACATATTCGTGCTAACATAAGCAATTTATAAAACTTATAGTTATTATGATGAAGTTAAGTTTGTATCTTATTCAAGTAATGAGGTAGTATTTCCATTTTAAATATCTGATGAATTTAATATTTAACTAAATTTATATCCAGGCTAATTTGACTATCCTATAACTTTTAGTTAAGAAGATCCAGTAACAACAGATTACTTACCCTATGATGAACTAATATTACTCACTAAAGACTAATTTATTGTAAAAATATCATTTACAGCTTGCTAAATCTACTATTTATCTTCTGTCTTTGTTTAAGATTTGCTTTATATGTTTGATATAATTAAATCATATGATTAAGAAGTATATTAATTAATTTATTCTTAAACTTATTATAGTGCTTAAACTGTATTAATTCCAGAACTAATAACTTAAATCACGGAATTTTTAAGTTAAGTTAAACTTTCAGTAGTATTAGAAATTTTTACACATCCTTATTAACCATTAAATGATGAAAAGTATTCATTTGGTGAGCACTTTTAGCAATGATTTCCACTACCTATTACTTCCAATACTTATCCACATGATTCTATGCATAATTTATTATCAGAAGAAATATAATTTTGACATGTTGATGAGCATGTGCTATTACTAGGGAATTAATATTAACCTTAAGAGCAATTTTGAGAACATGTGTTAGAACCATTATCAATTTCAGGTGAAATGCAAGTATCAGTGCAAATATTGCTATTTGAGGCAGATATTTTTTTAAAGTTACAAAAAGTAGGATTTACACATTATTTATATTTTACTTAATTATAAGTAAAATAATAAATCATTTATTGCTCACTGCATTAATTTAAACATTAAACTTCCTAATTAGATGCGTCTACTTGTAAATAATTTGAGCAAACTTTACATTATTTTTAGCCATTAGATAAATCTACATATTCTCCTTTACCGCAGCTGCTAACACAAGCAGTTTTGTTAACATTTTAATATTATTAAAGGGGACATGACAATAAGCATCGATTACCAGATAAACTTATAAATTCTGAATTATTACAACTGTTAACGCAAGCTGTTCCATTAGAAGAGACATATTAATTTTGATTGCACTAATTACAATAGGATGTTGAATTAACAAATTAATTATCATCACAATTAGAAACACATTGAGGTGTATTATTTTTTATATTAATGTACTAACTCTTGTTACAAGTTATGCAGAAGTTAGTTTAATTCAAATATTATCTATTATCTGAGCAAGTAAGAGTGCATTAAGTCATATTATTTTAGTTAACAAATAATTTGTTTTTACAACTACTCAAAGGTTAGCAAGCTCGACCTGAAAAAGAAAGTACTTCTGTTTAATTATTGCAGAAATTAACACATTACTTTCCATCAGAAGAAACAAATTAAGTATTATTGCATTATGTACAATAATTTGTTGAATTCAAATATTGACCATCACTGCAACTAGATACACATTATGTTTAATTATTATTATCTAAACCAAAGTATTATTAATCTTGATTGCAAGTCACGCAAAAATTGTTTGTCATATTAATAAATTAATTTTTACCGTTACAATTAGAAATGCATTAGGTCATAGTATTATTTTAAACAAATAACTTGCTTTAGCAATCTGATTTATTTTAACATGCTCTACCAGATAGAGAAAGAATTTCTCCTTAATTACAAAAACTAACACAAGTTGTTTTGTTAGAAGAAAGATATTAAGTTGGATTACAAGATGTACAGTAATTATTAGTTATATTTGCATATTATGCATCTCCACAGTTTGGAACACACTACAATTAATTTTTATCATCAAAACCTACAAATTAGTTAGATGTGCAATTTTAACAAAGACCTGTAGAATTCAAAAACTAATTAAAACCATTACAATTAGAAACACACTATTGTACTCCATTATTTTATGTAATCTATTAAGTACAATTTTCTTTATATATGCAAGCATTTCCATTTAAATTAAGTATTTAACCACCTAAATCACAAGTTTATAAGCAAGATGTTTAATTATAAGAAGGAAAACCTTTTTGACATTTTACACAGTAGCTGGTGGAGTTATAATATAAACCTTCATTGCATTTACTAACACAAGTTCCATTTTTCTTAGAATCATCATAATTTATGAAAGGTGTATCTCCACTACAAGTATAACATGTCTAATTATTTAGATCAACAAATTATCTATTTGAATTGCAATTAGAAACACATTGTGTTATGCTATTATTTTATGAAATAAGCTAAGTACAGTTTTCTTTATAAATGCAAGCATTTCCATTTAAGTTAAGTATTTAACCACCCTTATCGCAATTATCTAAGCAAGAAGCTTAATCATAAGAAGGGAAACCTTTTAGACATTTTACACAGTAGCGGGTGAAGTCATAATATAAACCTTCACTACATCTACCAACACATTGAGTTGTGCTATTTGTTTGTGCAAAAAGCTATGTACAATTTTCTTTATAAATGCAAGCAGTTCCATTTAAGTTAAGTATTTAACCACCCTTATCACATGTTTCAAAGCAAGTTGATTAATCATAAGAAGGGAAACCATTTTGACATTAAAGGCAGTAGTTAGTAGAGTTATAATATAAACCTTCATTGCATTTACTAACACAAGTTCCATTTTTCTTAGAATCATCATAATTTATGAATGGTGTATCTCCACTACAAGTATAGCAATAATTATTTAGATCAACAAATTATCTATTTGAATTGCAATTAGAAATACATTTTGTTGTGTCATTATTTTATGAAATAAGCTAAGTACAATTTTCTTTATAAATGCAAGCATTTCCATTTAAGTTAAGTATTTAACCACCCTTAACGCAAGTATCTAAGCAAGAAGATTAATCATAAGAAGGGAAACCTTTTTGACATTAAAGGCAGTAGCTGGTGGAGTTATAATATAAACCTTCATTGCATTTACTAACACAAGTTCCATTTTTCTTAGAATCATCATAATTTATGAATGGTGTATCTGCACTACAAGTATAGCAATAATTATTTATATCAACAAATTATCTATTTGAATTGCAATTAGAAATACATTTTGTTGTGTTATTAGTTTGTGCAAAAAACTAAGTACAATTTTCTTTATAAATGCAAGCATTTCCATTTAAGTTAAGTATTTAACCACCCTTATCGCAAGTATCTAAGCAAGAAGATTAATCATAAGAAGGGAAACCTTTTTGACATTTTACACAGTAGCTGGTGTAGTTATAATATAAACCTTCATTGCATTTACTAACGCAAGTTCCATTTTTCTTAGAATCATCATAATTTATGAAAGGTGTATCTCCACTACAAGTATAACATGTCTAATTATTTAGATCAACAAATTATCTATTTGAATTGCAATTTGAAACACATTGTGTTGTGGCATTAGTTTGTGCAAAAAACTAAGTACAATTCTCTTTATAAATACAAGCAGTTCCATTTAAGTTAAGTATTTAATCACCCTTATCGCATGTTTCAAAGCAAGTTGATTAATCATAAGAAGGGAAACCATTTTGACATTAAAGGCAGTAGTTAGTAGAGTTATAATATAAACCTTCATTGCATTTACTAACACAAGTTCCATTTTTCTTAGAATCATCATAATTTATGAATGGCGTATCTGCACTACAAGTATAGCAATAATTATTTATATCAACAAATTATCTATTTGAATTACAATTAGAAATACATTTTGTTGTGTCATTAGTTTGTGCAAAAAACTAAGTACAATTTTCTTTATAAATGCAAGCATTTCCATTTAAGTTAAGTATTTAACCACCCTTATCGCAAGTATCTAAGCAAGAAGATTAATCATAAGAAGGGAAACCTTTTTGACATTTTACACAGTAGCTGGTGTAGTTATAATATAAACCTTCATTGCATTTACTAACACAAGTTCCATTTTTCTTAGAATCATCATAATTTATGAAAGGTGTATCTCCACTACAAGTATAACATGTCTAATTATTTAGATCAACAAATTATCTATTTGAATTGCAATTAGAAATACATTTTGTTGTGCTATTATTTTATGAAATAAGCTAAGTACAATTTTCTTTATAAATGCAAGCAGTTCCATTTAAGTTAAGTATTTAATCACCCTTATCACATGTTTCAAAGCAAGTTGATTAATCATAAGAAGGGAAACCTTTTTGACATTAAAGGCAGTAGTTAGTAGAGTTATAATATAAACCTTCATTGCATTTACTAACACAAGTTCCATTTTTCTTAGAATCATCATAATTTATGAAAGGTGTATCTCCACTACAAGTATAACATGTCTAATTATTTAGATCAACAAATTATCTATTTGAATTGCAATTAGAAATACATTGTGTTGTGTTATTATTTTATGAAATAAGCTAAGTACAATTTTCTTTATAAATGCAAGCAGTTCCATTTAAGTTAAGTATTTAACCACCCTGATCGCATGTGTCTAAGCAAGTTGATTAATCATAGGAAGGGAAACCTTTTTGACATTATACACAGTTGCTGGTGGAGTCATAATATAAACCTTCACTGCATCTATCAACACATTGTGTTGTGGTATTAGTTTGCGCAAAAAGCTAAGTACAATTTTCTTTATAAATGCAAGCAGTTCCATTTAAGTTAAGTATTTAACCACCCTTATCGCATGTTTCAAAGCAAGTTGATTAATCATAAGAAGGGAAACCTTTTTGACATTAAAGGCAGTAGCTGGTAGAGTTATAATATAAACCTTCATTGCATTTACTAACACAAGTTCCATTTTTCTTAGAATCATCATAATTTATGAATGGTGTATCTGCACTACAAGTATAGCATATCTAATTACTTAGATCAACAAATTATCTATTTGAATTGCAATTTGAAACACATTGTGTTGTGCCATTAGTTTGTGCAAAAAACTAAGTACAATTTTCTTTATAAATGCAAGCAGTTCCATTTAAGTTAAGTATTTAATCACCCTTCTCGCATGTGTCTAAGCAAGAAGCTTAATCATAAGAAGGAAAACCTTTTTGACATTATAGACAGTAGCTGGTGGAGTCATAATATAAACCTTCACTGCATCTATCAACACATTGTGTTGTGGTATTAGTTTGCGCAAAAAGCTAAGTACAATTTTCTTTATAAATGCAAGCAGTTCCATTTAAGTTAAGTATTTAACCACCCTTATCGCATATTTCAAAGCAAGTTGATTAATCATAAGAAGGGAAACCATTTTGACATTAAAGGCAGTAGTTAGAAGAGTTATAATATAAACCTTGATTGCATTTACTAACACAAGTTCCATTTTTCTTAGTATCATCATAATTTATGAACGGTGTATCTGCACTACAAGTATAGCATATCTAATTATTTAGATCAACAAATTATCTATTTGAATTGCAATTAGAAACACATTGTGTTGTGCCATTAGTTTGTGCAAAAAACTAAGTACAATTTTCTTTATAAATGCAAGCAGTTCCATTTAAGTTAAGTATTTAACCACCCTTATCGCATGTTTCAAAGCAAGTTGATTAATCATAAGAAGGGAAACCTTTTTGACATTAAAGGCAGTAGCTGGTAGAGTTATAATATAAACCTTCATTGCATTTACTAACACAAGTTCCATTTTTCTTAGAATCATCATAATTTATGAATGGTGTATCTCCACTACAAGTATAACATGTCTAATTATTTAGATCAACAAATTATCTATTTGAATTGCAATTAGAAATACATTGTGTTGTGTTATTATTTTATGAAATAAGCTAAGTACAATTTTCTTTATAAATGCAAGCAGTTCCATTTAAGTTAAGTATTTAACCACCCTGATCGCATGTGTCTAAGCAAGAAGCTTAATCATAAGAAGGAAAACCTTTTTGACATTATACACAGTTGCTGGTGGAGTCATAATATAAACCTTCACTGCATCTATCAACACATTGTGTTGTGGCATTAGTTTGCGCAAAAAGCAAAGTACAATTTTCTTTATAAATGCAAGCAGTTCCATTTAAGTTAAGTATTTAACCACCCTTATCGCATGTTTCAAAGCAAGTTGATTAATCATAAGAAGGGAAACCATTTTGACATTAAAGGCAGTAGTTAGTAGAGTTATAATATAAACCTTCATTGCATTTACTAACACATTGTGTTGTGGCATTAGTTTGCGCAAAAAGCTAAGTACAATTTTCTTTATAAATGCAAGCAGTTCCATTTAAGTTAAGTATTTAACCACCCTGATCGCATGTGTCTAAGCAAGTTGATTAATCATAAGAAGGGAAACCTTTTTGACATTAAAGGCAGTAGCTGGTAGAGTTATAATATAAACCTTCATTGCATTTACTAACACATTGTGTTGTGGCATTAGTTTGCGCAAAAAGCTAAGTACAATTTTCTTTATAAATGCAAGCAGTTCCATTTAAGTTAAGTATTTAACCACCCTTATCGCATGTTTCAAAGCAAGTTGATTAATCATAAGAAGGGAAACCTTTTTGACATTAAAGGCAGTAGCTGGTAGAGTTATAATATAAACCTTCATTGCATTTACTAACACAAGTTCCATTTTTCTTAGAATCATCATAATTTATGAATGGTGTATCTGCACTACAAGTATAGCATATCTAATTACTTAGATCAACAAATTATCTATTTGAATTGCAATTTGAAACACATTGTGTTGTGCCATTAGTTTGTGCAAAAAACTAAGTACAATTTTCTTTATAAATGCAAGCAGTTCCATTTAAGTTAAGTATTTAATCACCCTTCTCGCATGTGTCTAAGCAAGAAGCTTAATCATAAGAAGGAAAACCTTTTTGACATTATAGACAGTAGCTGGTGGAGTTATAATATAAACCTTCGTTACATTTACCAACACAAGTACCATTTTTGTTAGAATCATCATAATTTATGAAAGGCGTATCTTCACTACAAGTATAACATATATTGTATGTATCTACAAACTATTTATCTAAGTCACAATTCTAAGCAAAACATAGGCTTATAATGATGCAAAGGCAAGATAGAAGTATTAATTTTTTTTACATATTTTTTTAATTTTTACCTTATAGTTAAATTATTTTTAATTAATTAATTTTTATAAATTGAAGTTTTTAATGACTATTTGAAGTAAATATTTAGTTTTAAATTTTTAATTGTAACGAATAATATGAATATAGATTCCATTACTTATAAAATATCTAAATACTGACTTTGAAATTCTAATTTAAAAATATAATCAAATTTTTTTAATTAAAAATAATATCTTACCCGTAACTCTAAATTTGCATATTTAAATTTAAAATATTGTTTTTAATTGTTAATTATTTGTTAAATATGTAATTCTTTTATTAAAATGGTTTTAAGAATATAATCAAATCAAGCTTCTTTTCAAAAAATAAACAAAATATATTTTTTAAAAGATATAGAAACTAATATTTTTTTTTATCAATTTTATATTAGTTTTAATGGTTAAATTCTTCAACTTAGTAGTCAATAATACATTTAGTTCACATCTACTGATCAATATTATAAATATTTAGTCTTTAAATATAAATATATAAATAATATAGTATCACACTGTTTTTTCTAAGTTATTTAAGAAATATGTTTTAAATTAATTTGTTTGGTTTTAAAACAGTGAAAAACTATTACTATTATTCTCATTATTTTTAATAATTTGTGGTTAAAGATTAATTATTAGCAAAGTTTTTTAAATATATAACGACTAGGGAAATAATGATTTAAATAAAACTATCATCATTAACTGATATGTAAACAACTATATTTCATAATCAACCTTATCTATTTTAATTGATAAATTTCAATTTTAATTTTATTTTTCGTTATTTTTAAAATACATCTTCTTATTTTCTTTGATTATGCTTTGACTTATATTTTTTTTTAAATATATAATTTTAAAGAGGAAATGTAAAATTTATATTTATTTCTTTGCTTTCTTTATAAAATAATTTAAAAATTTTTAATTATCTGAAAAAAATATTTTTAAAAACAAAAAAATGATAGAAAAAAAAATGTATCTTAGAGTTAAAAATTTTCAAATTGAGAAGAGTATAATACCTCAAATGAAAAGCAAACAGTTAATAATACGTATTAATAGAAATATATTTAGTAAATTTTTGATTATTAATTATTTAAATTTAGAGACTTTCTTATAATAATTTAATAGTATTCATATCATATTCAGATTAGGCTTTTAAATTGCTTATTGTAATCATTTTTAAATGTTTTATATTTGCCAAAAATAATTTTCATGAGATTTTATCTTTTTAAAAGCATAGATATTAAATTAATTTCCTCAATAATATGAACTTAAAAATATATTTATAATTTATTATTCTTCAAATTTTAAAGGAAAAAATAAGGTGAAAATTTAATTAACTAAATAAGTTATTAATTTTTTTCTTAAATAACTATTAAATATTCTCTTATAAATTATGAATATATTTATAATACTTTTTTAAGATAAAGAAGAAATTTTTAAAAAATTCAATTCATCTATAATAAAAAATTAAATTTATAACTATGCTTTCTTTAAAATAATATTAATATAAAAAAATGAAAGTAAAAAATGTATCTTAGAGTTAAAATTTTTCAAATTTTGAAGAGTATAATAACTTAAATCAAAATCAAACAGACAATAATACGTATTTATCCAAAAATATATCTGAATTCTTTATTATTTATTTAAAAATTTAGAGACTTTCTTATTATAATTTAATAGTATCAATCCATATCTTATTCAGATTAGGCATTTATATATCTTTTTGTAATTTAAATGTTTTATATTCCTCAAAAATAATTTTTATAAGATTTGTCTTATTAAAAGCATAAATATTAAATTTCTGTAAAAATATCAATTTAAAATTATATTTATTTATCATTACTAATTCTTCAAATATAAAAGAAAAAAAAAATTAACATGAGCAATAAAAACTGATGCATTTAGATATTTATTTATTTATTACATTACAAAATTGTAATCTAAACAACTGATTATAAAAAGCTGTTTTTTCAAGCTTTTACAATAATTAATAAAATTTATTTTAGTTTTTTTATAGACTTTTTGAAAAAAAAATAATAGTTCTATTTTAGAAATTTTAATGCTAACTGATTTTATAGATAAAACATTATAATTTTTTAAAAACTATTATATACTTTAGTTTTTATAACATAATCTATTAAAAACGAATTATAAGATTAACCTTTGACTTATGTAATTCTTTATGCTTTTTTATTAATTTGTTATTTCTCTTTAAATTGATAAAAAAATGAAATCATGAATTATATATGACAAATACTATAATTATTACAATAATTACAAATACTAAAATAAATCCTGAAATAAATAAGATGAAAAGTCTAATTCAAGCTTTGAATTAGATATGATATTTAGATTACAGATCCTAAATTTATTTGAGATATCTCTCAAATATTTTTGTAAATATTTATATTTTAGATAGGATAAATAAGTATTCAAATAAAATGAACAGACTAAAATATTTTTAAAAATATTCCTTATTAGTAGTCAATTAAATGATATTTGCTAGATTGATTTGATTTGGTTGGATGTAATTTGCCATAGTTTTTATTTTTCAAAAGATTGATTCTAAATACTATTTTTATTAGGAGATGGGTGACTCAACTTATTTAATTACAAGTAAGTGGGATATTTTATTAAGTAAATTTTATTGACTTTGATTACAATTTAATACTTAGATAGCTAATTAGAATTTTTTAATTAAATTATAATGGAATAATTTCATATCTTTTAAAAAATTTATTTCACCTAAAATGCTTTAGCTAAATAATTAATCACTACTTATGTAATATAAAGTGAGTGCTATTATAAAGAAACTCATTTTGTAAATATTTTATTTGATTTTATTTAAAAAAGCATATTTTCGACTTAAAAATTATAAATAATATTATATTTATTTCAAATTTTGAAAGCAATATATAATAATAAAAACTAAATAAATATGAAATAATAATAATACAACTTTTTTCTAATAAATTTTCCTTTCTAGTTTATTTAATAATTCGAAAAACATTAATCCTTGAAATTAACAATATATCAAGTATTTTGAACTTCCTATATATTTATTTTTAATGTATATCTAATTTATAATATTTAATAAGTGGCATTAATAGGAATTTAGCTCTAAAGCATAATAACAAGATTAACAAGTAGAAAAAATATGACATTTTAAAAAAATTATAAAATACATAAAAAAGATTTCAATATCTCTATGTTTCTATTAGTATTCTTTTGATTCTTTTTACGATAAAAGTAAACATCGGTTGATAAATATTTACATTATTTAAACCAATTAACAATACATAATTTACCTTGAATATAAGTTTCTAAAATTTAAATGCTCTTTTTATGTAGCAATACTGTTTTATTTATACTTAATATAATTTGTTAATTTTTAAATCTGTAAGGGAATTTTTTGGAAAATAATACGAGAATATAATTTAAGATATATTATTAATCAATTTTGTAAATTATTACTGGTAAGTATATCTGTAATCTAATTTGTTTTTTTGAGAAAATACACTTTTTAAAAATATTATTTTTTATTTTTAGATTTGTTTAATTCTAATATAATTTGTTAATGATTTTCATTAAATTATATAAAATTTAAGATAGATACATAAGAATTTAATTATCTTAACTATGTGATTATTTTTCATATAATTATTGGATATATATCTTTAATAAATAATATCTTTTCATTTTAAAATGTGAGAAAATTATTTATGACCACATTTGATAGTATTTAATTAATCCCAACCTTAAGATTTTAAATTATAATTTTTATATTTTATATTAAATTTTATTCCTTTTTGATTTTATAAAATAGTAACTTTTGTAACTAAATAGATAAAATTAGTAAGATATTTTTTAAATATTATTATGATTTGTTTATCTTATTTTAGATGTTTTTAAAATAGCTTAAATGAATATTAAAAAACAAAAAACCATTTTATATTTCGATAATTTTTCAAGTGCAAAGCTCATTTTGAGTTTAATAATTGCCAAGAAATATAAAACCTTTTGTTTTAACTACTATAAAAAAATAAACTTTTTATTTTCTATTTAATTTATAAGAGAATAAATTTTGCATTAATATCTGAAAAAAAAAATATTTGCAAACATTTTCATATAAGGAATCTATCAGTTGTATCTTTTCTTAATTTTTGTTAGGCTATGGTTGAATTTATATATTAGGAGGGAAGTATTGATTGAAGCTTTTAGGAATTAAGATTAGAAGTTATTGCTTAGAGTTAGATTAAAATGTATGGTAAATTAATCAAAAGTTGAAATCTTTTTTAAATATATAATTTCTTGATTTTAGTTTTGGGATTTATTTAAATTTAAATAACGAATACCTATTAGCAAAATTTAATTAACTATAATCTGTTTTTAGATTAAATTTACAAATAATTAAGATGATGAACAAATCCATGGCAAAATATATTTATTTTTTTATTATAATAATTTATATATTTATGCTTTTTTATAATTTTATAATTTAAAATAATATTAATATTTTTTAAAAAACAAAAAATATCAATTTTATTTTTTAAATATATTTGTATCCAAAAAAATTTGAAAAAACTAATTCAAAGAAATTTTTTAAGTGAATAAGATAAAAAACTAAATAATTAAATTTATTTCATTATTTTAAGCATAGATAAAATGTAATTCATTTAAATTTGATCTATTTTAAAGTGTAAAAATTATTCAATAGTGAGAAACAAAAATATAAAAATATAAATTTACTTTAATTTAAAAAAATATTATATAATATATATAAAATATCATTCAAGCGCAATTTAATCTAAAATGATTGCTTCATCCTTTTTAGCTTAATTTTGATTTTCTGTATCTATTTTTTCTCCTTATTCAGTAATTAGGTTATTTGCTTATAAAGCTTAAGGTTAGTTGAGTTGAATAAATTTTTTACAATTTTTTTTGCGCCTTATATAGCTTATAACACAAACACTTGTTATACCTACAAAGGCAATACAAGAAAATGTTATTCCAAATATTTGCACTCCTGATAATCCTTTAGTACTCTCATCTTCAGAATCACAATATTTTTAATCAACATGTAAACACTACTCATCATAATATATTGATGAACTATACGATATTTGGCATGCAATCTATCCATTTTAAACTTAACCTTAGCTCCAAGTTAAGACCCCTTACTCGTTATAATTTTAGCATATAAGTTTATTTGGGTTTTAATCTTACTTAATAGCATACATAATTTAGAATGATTAAGACTACTATAGAATTCTTTACTATGATTAAACGGATTTTACATTTAATAAGAACAGAGGTTACTTTTATGCACAACTATACTATTAGCAATACATATTCGTGCTAACATAAGCAATTTATAAAACTTATGGTTATTATGATGAAGTTAAATTTGTATCTTATTCAAGTAATGAGGTAGTATTTCCATTTTAAATATCTGATGAATTTAATATTTAACTAAATTTGTATCCAGGCTAATTTGTCTATCCTATAACTTTTAGTTAAGAAGATCCAGTAACAACGGACTACTTACCCTATGATGTACTAATTTTGCTCACTAAAGACTAATTTATTGTAAAAATGTCATTTACAGCTTGCTAAATCTACTATTTATCTTCTGTCGTTGTTTAAGATTTACTTTATATGTTTGATAAAATTAAATCATATGATTAAGAAGTATATTAATTAATTTATTCTTAAACTTTTTATAGTGCTTAAACTGTATTAATTCCAGTGCTGATAACTTAAATCACAGAATTTTTAAGTTAAGTTAAACTTTCAGTAGTATTAGAAATTTTTACACATCCTTATTAACTTTTTAGTGAAAAGTATTCATCTGGTTAGCACTTTGAGCAACGATTTTCACTACCTACTACTTCCAATACTTATCCACATGATTCTATGCATAATTTATTATCAGAAGAAATATAATTTTGACATGTTGATGAGCATGTGCTATTACTAGGGAATTAATATTAACCTTAAGAGCAATTTAGAGAACATGTGCTAGAACCATTGTCTATTTCAGGTGAAATGCAAGTATCAGTGCAAATATTGCTATTTGAGGCAGATATTTTTTTAGATTTACAAAAAGTAGGATTTACACATTATTTATATTTTACTTAATTATAAGTAAAATAATAAATCAATTATTGCTGACTGCATTAATTTAAACATTAAACTTCCTAATTAGATGTGTCTACTTGTAAATAGTTTGAGCAAACTTTACATTATTTTTAGCCATTAGATTAATCTACATATTCTCCTATACCGCAGCTACTAACACAAGCAGTTTTGTTTACATTTTAATATTATTAAAGGGGACATGATAATAAGCATCTATTACCAGATAAACTTATAAATTCTGAATTATTGCAACTGTTAACACAAACTGTTCCATTAGAAGAGACATATTAATTTTGATTGCACTAATTGCAATAGGATGTTGAGTTAACAAATTAATTATCATCACAATTAGAAACACATTGAAGTATATTATTTTTTACATTAATGTACTAACTGTTGTTACATGTTATGCAGAAGTTAGTTTAATTCAAATATTATCTATTACCTGAACAAGTAGCAGTGCATTGAGTCATATTATTTTAGTTTACAAATAATTTGTTCATCTATTAAGTACAATTTTCTTTATAAATGCAAGCATTTCCATTTAAGTTAAGTATTTAACCACCCTAATCACATGTGCCTAAGCAAGATGTTTAATTATAAGAAGGGAAACCATTCTGACATTATAAGCATAATTTATTAGAGCTATAATATAAACCTTCATTACATTTACCAACACATTGTATTGTGCCATTAGTTTGTGCAATAAACTAAGTACAATTTTCTTTATAAATGCAAGCGTTTCCATTTAAGTTAAGTATTTACTAACCCTAATCGCATGTACCATAGCAAGATGTTTAATTGTAAGAAGGGAAACCGTTTTGACATTTTACACAGTAGTTAGTGGAGTTATAATATAAACCTTCATTGCATTTACTAACACATTGTGTTGTACCATTATTTTATTAAATAAGCTAAGTACAATTTTCTTTATAAATGCAAGCATTTCCACTTAAGTTAAGTATTTAACCACCCTATTCACATGTGTCTAAGCAAGATGTTTAATCGTAAAAAGGAAAACCTTTTTGACATTTTACACAGAAGCTGGTGGAGTTATAATATAAACCTTCATTGCATTTGCCAACACAAGTTCCATTTTTGTTAGTATCATCATAATTTATGAACGTAGTATTCCCACTACAAGTATAGCATATCTTATTAGTTAGATCAACAAATTATCTATTTGAATTGCAATTAGAAACACACTATGTAGTACCATTATTTTATGAAATAAGCTAAGTACAATTTTCTTTATAAATGCAAGCGTTTCCATTTAAATTAAGTATTTAACCACCCTAATCGCATGTGCCTAAACATGATGTTTAATTATAAGAAGGGTAACCGTTTTGACATTTTATACAGTATGTTGGTGGAGTTTTAATATAAACCTTCATTGCATTTACTAACACATTGTGTTATACCATTATTTTATTAAATAAGCTAAGTACAATTTTCTTTATAAATGCAAGCATTTCCACTTAAGTTAAGTATTTAACCACCCTAATCACATGTGCCTAAACATGATGTTTAATTATAAGAAGGGTAACCATTCTGGCATTATAAGCAGTAGCTGGTGGAGTTATAATATAAACCTTCATTGCATTTACCAACACATTGTGCTGTGCTATTAGTTTGTGCAATAAACTAAGTACAATTTTCTTTATAAATGCAAGCATCTCCACTTAAGTTAAGTATTTAACCACCCTAATCACATGTGCCTAAGCAAGATGTTTAATTATAAGAAGGGAAACCATTCTGACATTTTACACAGTAGCTGGTGGAGTTATAATACAAACCTTCATTGCATTTGCCAACACAAGTTCCATTTTTATTAGAATCATCATAATTTATGAACGTAGTATTCCCACTGCAAGTATAGCATATCTTATTAGTTAGATCAACAAATTATCTATTTGAATTGCAATTAGAAACGCATTGTGATGTACCATTATTTTAGGAAATAAGCTAAGTACAATTTTCTTTATAAATACAAGCAGTCCCATTTAAGTTAAGTATTTAACCACCCTAATCGCATGTGCCTAAGCAAGATGTTTAATTGTAAGAAGGGAAACCATTTTGACATTTTACACAGTAGCTGGTGGAGTTATAATACAAACCTTCATTGCATTTGCCAACACAAGTTCCATTTTTGATAGAATCATCATAATTTATGAACGGTGTATTTCCACTACAAGTATGGCATATATTGTTTGAATCAACAAACTATTTATCTTAGTTGCAATTATCAGTAAGGCATAAACTTAAATAGATGCAAAAGCAAGATAGTAGTAATATTTTTTTTTACATATTCTTTAATTTTTACTTTTTAGTTTAATTATTTTTAATTAATTAATTTATATAAATTTAAGTTTTTAATGTCTATTTAAAGTAAATATTATGTTTTAAATTTTATATTTTAGTGAATAATATGTATATGGATTCCCTTACTCCTAACATATCTAAATACTAACTTTGAAATTCTAATTTATAAAACAAATTTTTTAATTAAATATATAGTCTTACCCGTAGCTTTATATTTGTAAATTTAAATTTAGAATATTGTTTTTAATTTATAAACAAGGTAATTATTTACATTTATATAAAAATTGTTTTAAAAATATAATCAATTAAAGTTTCATTTAAAAAAATAAATAATTTATGTTTTCTTAAAAGATATAGAAACTAATATCTTTTTCTTACCTATTGTTTTGAGTTATTTTACAGTGTACAGAATTTATATTTAACTGATCAATATCATAAATATGTAGTCTTTAAATATAATGTAGGATCATTAATTAATTTGTTTGGTTTTAAAACAGTGAAAAAATAATTACTATTATTTTCATTATTTTTAATTATTTGTGGTTAAATATTAATCCTTAGCAAAGTTTTTAAATATATAACCACTAGGGATAGGATGATTTAAATAAGACTATCATCATAAATGATATGTAAACAACTATATTTCATAATCAACTCTATCTATTTTAATTTTATTTTTTGTATTTTTAAAATACATCTTCTTATTTTTTTTGATTAGGCTTTAACTTAATATTTTTTGATTTATACAATTTTAAAGAGAAAATATAAAACTTATGTTTATTTCTATGCTTTCTTTATAAAACAATTTTAATCTGATAAAAATATTTTTTAATAAACAAACAAATGAAAGAATGAAATTTATCCTAGAGTTAACAATTTTTAACTGATAAGAGTATAATACCTCAAACGAAAATCAAATAGATAATTATACGTATTAATAAAGAAAAATTTAGTAACTTTTTGATTATTTATTATTTAAATTTAGAGACTTTCTAATAATTACTTATTAATATCCATATCTTATAGAGATTAGGATAATATATATCTTTTTGTAATTTTTTTTTAAATGTTTTATATTTCCCAAAAATAATTTTCATGAGATTTTATCTTTTTAAAATCATATATATTAAAACAATACAAAAAAATCAACTTAAAAATATATTTATAATAAAATGATTCTTCAAATATAAAAGGAAAAGATAAGATGAAATTTAATTTGATTAACTAAATAAGTAATTAATTTTAAACTAAAATAGCTATTAAATATTCTTTTATAAACCATGAATAAATTCTTGATACTTTAAGATTTAGAAGCAATTTTAAAAAATTCAATTTATCTAAAATAAAAAATATAAATTTATTTTTATGCTTTTTTTATAAAACAATTTTAAAGGAAATAAATTTACCTTAGAGTTAAAATTTCTCAAATTGAGAAGAGTATAATACTTCAAACGAAAATTAAACAGAAAATAATACGTATTGATAAAAAAATATTTTGTAACTTTTTGATTATTTATTTATTTAAATTTAGAGACTTTCTTATAATTATTTAATAATATCCATATATTATTCAGATTAGGCTTTTATATATCTTTTTGTAATCTTTTTTAAATATTTTATATTTCTCTAAAATAATTTTCATGAGATTTATCAAAATTATATAAAATACATTATCAACTTATAAATGTATTTATAATAAAATTATTCATCCATCAAGTAAGTTTAAAAGGAAAAGAGGTGAAAATTAATTTGATTAATGAAATAAGTAAATAATTTTAAATTTAAATAACTAGTAAATATTCTCTTATTAATCATGAATAAATACTTGATACTTTAAGAAATAGAAGCAATTTATAAAAAATTCAATCCATCAAAATCTAAAATATTTGTTTATTTCTATGCTTTTTTTAAAAAATAATTTTAATATAAAAAAATGAAAGAAAAAAATTTATCTTAGAGTTAAAATTTCTCAAACTTTCAAGAGAATAATAACTTAAATCAAAATTTAACAGATAATAATACGTATTAATCCAAAAATATATCTTAACTTTTTTATTATTTATTATATACATTTAGAGACTTTCTTATAATTATTTAATAATATCCATATATTATTCAGATTAGGCTTTTATTTATTATTTTGTAATATTTTTAAATATTTTATATTTCTCTAAAATAATTTTCATAAGATTTTGTCTTATCAAAAGCATAAATATTAAATATCTGCAATAATATCAACTTAAGATTATATTTATTTATCATAAATTATTCTTCAAATATGAAAGGAAAAAAGAAATTAGTATGAGCAATAAAAACTGACACATTTTAGATATTAATTTATTAATTACATTATAAAATTGTAATCTAACAACTGATTATAAAAAACTGTATTTTGAATCTTTTTATAATAATTAATAAAATTTGTTTTAGTTTTTTTATAGACTTTTTGAAATAAAAATAGTATTTCTATTTTATAAATTTCAAAGCAAACTGATTTTATAGATAAAACATTATAATGTTTAAATGTCTTTTATACAAGTTAGTTTTTATAACATAATCTATTTTAAAAGCATTGTAAGCTTAATATTTGACTTATGTAATTTTCTATGCTCTTTTATTAATTTGCTATTTTTTTTTTATTAAAATTGATGAAAAAGTGAAATCATAAATTAGATATAATAAATACTTGTGATTATTACAATTACTCCAAATATTTAAATAAATCCTGAAATAAGTAAGATGAAAAGACTAATTCAAGCTTGTTTAAAATAGATCTGATATTTATTTTGCAGTTAATTAATTTATTTGAGATATCTCTCAAATATTATTCTAAATATTTATATTATAGATAGGATAAATAGGTATTCAAATAAAATGGACTGGCTAAAATATTTTTAAAAATAATCCATTATTAGTAGACAATTAAATAATATTTGCTAGATTGATTTGATTTTATTGAATGTGATTAGCGATAGTTTTTATTTTTTAAAATATTCTATATACTATTTTTATTTGGAGATGGGTGACTCAACTTATCTAATTATATGTAAGTGGGATGTCTAGTTAAGTAAATTTAATTTACTTTGATTACAGTTTAATATTTAGCTAACTAATTAAATGGTAAAAGAATAATTTCCTATTTTTTTAAATATCTGTTTCACCTAAAATGTTTTAGATAAAAAATTTATCACTTTAATATAAAGTGAGCTCTATTATATTGAAACTCATTTTTTAATTATTTTATTGCATTTTATTTAATAAAGCATATTTTTGACTTAAAAATTAAAAATAATATAATTTGTATTTCGCGTTTTGAAAGTAATATTAATAAAAACTTAAATATATATGAAATAATAATTCAATTTTTTCTAAAAAATGTTTCTTTCTAATTTATTTAATAATTGGAAAAACATTAATCCTTGAATTAATAATATAATAAGTATTTTGAATTTCCTATACATTTATTTTTTATGTAAATCTAATTTATTATATTTGATAAAGAACATAATTATGGATTTAGCTCTAAAATATGACATTTTAAAAAAATTATAATAAACATAAGAAAGATCTGTATATCTTCAATAATATCTTGTCATTTTTAAATTTGATAAAATCATTTATGACCACTTTTGATAGTATTTAATTAATCCCACCCCTAAAATTTTAAATAATAATTTTTATATTTTATATTAAATTGTAGACTTTTTTGATTTTATAAAATAGTAACTTTTGTAATTAATTAAATAGGTAAAATTAGTTAAATATTTTTTAAATATTAGAATTACTTGCTTACCTTATTTTAGATGTTTTTAAAATAGCTTAAATGAATATTTAAAAAATAAACAAACAAAAAACCATTTTATATTTAGATCATTTTTCAAGTGAAAAGCTCATTTTGAGTTTCATATTTGTCAAAAAATATATATCCTTTTATTTTGACGAAACTACAAAATTTACTTAATATTTTCTATTTTATAAAGAAGAGAGTAATCTTTGCTTAAATATGGGGGGAAAAATATTTGTAAACATTTTCACATAAGGAGTCTATCAGTTTTATCTTATATTTCCTAGGCTATGGTTGAATTTGTATTTTAAGAGAGACATATTGATAGAAGCTTTTTGGAAGTAAGAATAGAAGCTTATAGCTTAGAGTTTAATTTAAAATGTATGGTAAATTAATCAAAAGTTGAAATCTTTTTTAAATAAATAATTTCTTGGTTTTAGTTTTGTGATTTAGTTAAATTTAAATTTGTAAACTTTATTAGCTAAAATCTAATGAATTATAATAATCTGTTTTTAGATTACCCATTAAAAAGATTAATTAATTAAAATATTGGATATTAGTTTTTATATAAAAGATTTTTTATTTTTGAGAATATTTAAATTTCAATAATTTAACTAATATTTTATCAATGCTACACTATTTAACTTTATGTATAGGCAATTTTGTGGCAGAGAAAAACAATTAAAATAATTATATTTATTTTAATCTATTCTTCCTTCTTTTTGAAGTTAAAATACTAATCAAACTTTAAAAATTATATAAATATTATTTAGTATCTAAGTCAGATAAAGAAAAAAATACCAATTTTTGGTATTATATATTTTACTTCAATATCAAAATCAAAAATAAGTTTTGATTATTTTTTATCAAAAATTGTATAAAGTAGTTAAGCAATAAAATTAATTAATTAGTAAGTTATTATTATTTAGCTATTCTTATATATTTATTTCTTGAAAAAACTATGAATTTTTATAAAAGCTAAAAAAGATTTTTATAAGAATTTGAAGATCTTATCTATTGTATAAAATGAATAGATAATCTTAATATTTAATTTATTTTTATATTTTATTGAAAAAATTTTAAAAAGAATATCTGAATAATCAAATGTTTAAAAAAAACATATTTATGTAGAATATAAATATATATTGTTTATTTAAATATTTGTTCATTTTAGTAATGAAATTAAGAATACGAAAAAGAAGAGGGAAATTGTTAATATGTTCTAAAAATTTGAAAAATAAAAGAGTATGGAGCTTTTATATTTTCTAGCTATGTAGAGATCTAGCTCCTTTTCAATTTTCTCTTACTACTACTTTTTAGAAATACAGTGGTTGGTCTTATCGTAGAAAGAAGTATATATTTTTTATATTTGTGATGCTTAATTAAATGTTTCTTTGTTTTGTGAAAATTGTTTAATAATTTTATTGTTTCGAGATATGATGCTTTCTACAAGATTATTAAAATATTGCTAGAAAATTAAAGATTATTTTCTATTTATTCCATTGGGAAAAAAATTGTTAGAGGTATTATTGTTAATATTATTGTTATTTGCTTATATTTAATTTAGTGGTGGTTGCTATTATTACTGTTGTGTTTGAGAATTATCTGAAGTTTAGCTTATCTATTTCTCTACATCTTTTGATAACAATTCAATCATCTTATAATTTTATGAGAAATATCTGTAGATCTTTTATTTGAGATTCAGTTCAGATATTTATGAAGCTTCTTATTCTTATTTGTATATACTTGTTTAAGGCTGTTTCATTAAATTTTCTATTTAACCATTTTTCATGTGTTTCTCAAAGCATTCCTTTAATTTTTAATTCTCAAGCTCACTAAAGACATCTTTGAGATTTAAATAATACCATCTTTATTTATTCCTACTTATATACCTACACTCGTTGGCTTCTTCCTAAAACTCTGAAGCTATTTCTTCTAATAGTACTTAATGGAAAGAGATTGAGTTACTACTAAATTTTTTTTGCTCATAATATAAAGAAGGCAGAAAGACAACTCTTAAAGCTGATCTCTGGCATTTAATTTTAGGAAATTTTAAACTAAAGCTTTTCCAAATTTTTTAATTTAGCTTTAAAAACTATATATAGTGAATTAAGTCATCTTACTTTTATTCATTCTGAAAAAAAGTGGCTCTGTCTTCGATTTTAGAATAGCATTCTCTCATACTTAACGGTAGTGTATCTATTAGCAACACCTTTTTAGGCTAATTCAATTTAAGGTCTGTTAATATTTAGTTGTAGTCAATTAACAGCTCTAAATCCAAATTAGATACATTTTCACTAATATTGTTAAAACTACTGTTATTTGAATCGCTGTCTTTAGAATTTTTCATGCAATTTGAAGGATAAAAAGTTCCTTAAAAGGATAAATTATTATCTTTCTACTGTTGTTATTTGAATTTATCTGTTTACGGATTGTACATATTTTATGAAAATGTTTTATTTCCTAAACCTATTCCTCTTAGATCCTTTTTTTGTGTAAACTCAATAATATCATTTTGTACTTTGAATTCTGGGTTTAAAAGATCTAAGTTATCTATATTTCTTTTGTAGTATGAGGTATAATCATGTGTTTAATTATCGTATGTGTACATAGCATCACAATAATAGTGCTGTTAAACTAAATAATCTCTTATTTCTAGCCATAAAGCAGATTTTTAAGGAAGTATTAAAATAACATAATACCATTAGCTTATTTTTTTGAGTGTTTACTTTAAATTTTAAAGGATGTGAAGCTGTTCTTAATTAAATTTACTGTTTTCATCATCATAAGCCTGATCATCTTCTCCCTATTAGTACTCGTAATTGCTTCTTTTTTCTTCAGCAATGTATTATTTTGTCTAAACTTAAGTGATTTCTTTGAACTACGATATTGTTAATCCTTCTATTTCCGATTTATTTTCATCCTCTAAAATAAGTGATTCTTCTTAATCATTATTTTAATTAACTTTATTGAATTTTTACTAAAAATTTTAATCTTCGGCTTGAGGGATATCAGAACTAGAGTTTTTCGCATGTTTAAAAAATGAATTTTCGTAAATTCCAAGGACTCCATTAAAATGCAATATTGCTAATTAATTACCTCTAAAGTAGTTTCTAGGCTTAAAGTAAACTCGATGAAGTCTACGAAATTTAATTCTATTAGAATATTAAGGTGGAAGATCATAGAATATTTTTTGGCTACATTTTAAATCTTAATTATTTATATTTTAACTGTTTTATATAGAAGATATAGATGAATTAGCTTCATTATCTCCTCTAATGTCCTTACTTTAAGATTTTAACTTATTTGAAAGATTTTAGAGATCATTTTTAGGCTAATCCTACTAATTTTATTTTTGAACATGCAACGATTATTATCTACTTGATGTAGATTATTTTTAAATTTACACAGATTATTTTTTAAATGAAGTAGGCTATTACAATGTCTAGATATTTTGTTTATTATTTAGAGGAGAATCCATTTAAGACAATTATTTACTTGGTAATTTTTCTTTAGAATTACTTTCGTTTTATTCTTATTTATTTGAGTTATTACTATTTGTATGCTATTCAAGCTATTTTTCTTAATTGTTTTGCTAGTCATTTTTTAAGCTACTGTATATTGCAGGTAAATTTATATTCTGTTGCTTTGGTGTTTACTAAGAAAGAGATTAAGGTCTATTTTCTTCCTGAGACTACTTTTTACATTAAAAGAAGTAATCTTAAGTCTACAAATTGAAAAATTGTGAAGCTCTTGAAGTAGGAGACATCTAATTATTACTTTAAACTTGCATTATTTTATTTAACTAAATATTATTTCGCTCTATAATTTATAAGGAATTTTAATACGGATTATATTAGCTTTATAAATTTATGTTATTATTTGCAAGCTCATTTTATAATAAAAGCTATTTATTTGCTTTTGGTTTTTTTTACTTTACTTAAGATTTTCTTTTTTGCCTTCCCGTTGAAGATTTCATAGTTTCCTTATATGACTGTTAATCAGCTATAGGATCTTTCTATCTCCTGTTAATGATATTTGGTGAGTTTTATTGAGGTAGATATTATTTTTATGTAATTTATTAATCTAAAATCGTATTATTTTCTACATTTTTCTTGTCAGAAAATTATGTTGTATCTACTTTAGTAATAAAATTTCTCTTTTTTATCTCTGAAGGTTGATTTAAAAATTCATTTCCCTATTCTGCTTATTTTAATTTCCTTGAATTTACTTAACTGTCTTAGATTTAAGACAATTTCTATGTATCATTTTGAACTTTTTATACTTCACTTTTTTTTCTAAAATCACTTTAAGTTTTGAAGATATTATCTTTGAGTTTCATAGTTATAATTGATTAAAATTCTTTTTTTTCTTTATTCAGATTTTATTTTGTACTTTCCTGCTAGCTTTAAAGGTTGACACTATCTTCAGAATCCTGTGTAACTTATCCGTATATTTTATATAGTTTCTTTAAAGGTTAAGCGCTTGAAGGATTATTGAGTAAATTATTTTGTTATGTGTTAACTGTTGAAAATAATAAAGTTTGTTTAAATTTAATTTATGATAAAATGATTGATATATAACCTGCTGCAACTAGTCTTTTCTAATTGAGATTATTTGCTTTGATAAAAGTAGGACTTTCATTAGCCTCATAATCGTTTGTGGTCTCTGAGGAACATAGAGAATTGTTATGGCAAGACTAATTAATAGTAAGATGATTTGTTAATTAATTTAACTACTTTAACTTAATATGTTTAAATTTACATTTTTATTATAAAATTCCCCTTATTTATTAACAACTCTTTTCAGTTCATATTTTTTGTGATTTGAAGTGCTTCTTTATGTTTATTTAAAGACTTCAGAATTTGTTTGCTGAAAAATATCGCTCTTTAAAGAATTTTTTTATTCATTATTTTTATTTTCTTCACTACCTTTAAGTAATTACTACAGTAATTACTCATCTTTTTTTAATTTTATAGGTATATATTTGATGTTATGAAAGGAATCATTGCCATTTTTATTTAGTATTCTCGTCTTCTGAAGAGGTGAGTTACTCCTTACTGATTTTGAAAATTTTATTTTCACAGGTACCATAAAATTTATGCTACACTTTTTTGAAAATAAGCCTTTATTCTACTACTAATTATTTTTTTCTTCTACTTCTTAATGATTGATCTATCTAAATAAAGTAAATTTCAAAGAAAATTTATTGATAATAATTAATATTAAAATCTAATTGAATTTAATAATCATAAAAGTAAGTTAAATGTGTTTGTAAAACTATTGTTGATTTAAAATGAAAGAGTTTCTCTAATCCTTGAAATTTAAAATAATTATATTTAAAGAAATAAATTTTATTTTAATTTAATATTTTAAATCTTAATGAATAAATTTCTTTCATTTAAAATTTTTAATTCAAGGATATTGATTTATTTTAATAGAATAAAACAAATATAAAATTAAATTAGATGTTTTTATTCTACTATATTAATTTAAAATAATGAGTTATACTTCACTCGAAACAATACCAAAATGATCAAGAATAAAACTAAAGTTAAAATACCTAAATTATGAAAACTGAAATTTAACTTTCCTTAAAGCAAATTAAACAAACATAAAATAAAATTAAATATGTTTAATAATTCAAAATAATAAATATTACTCTCAAAATATAAATGATTACATTTTTCTATTAATAATAAAGTAAAAAATAAAGTAATAAATTTATAAAAATATTAAATTTTATTTATTTAAAAAATTTTAAAAAAATCTAATCTGTTTTTCAAAATCTAAATAATTAGGTGCACATAAATAAAATCTATAACCTTATTTTTTTAAATGACTCTTAGAATTTTATAATTGAAAACTTAATATTTATTTTTACAGACTTAAAAAATAATATGTTTTCATTTTTAGTACTAATTTATAATTTCAACTTTTATTAATAAGTTTAAATATCAAAATATTTTTTTGTTAAATTATTTGATTTTATAAACTCAAATCACAGATTTCTCTAATTTGTGAGAATACAAGCATATATTTTATTTACTTAAAAATGTATTTTTCATTAATATATTTACTAAAAAATATGAAATAGCTTGTAATTAGCATAATATATTGTATGTTAGAAAAAAAATAAGATTCTGCCTAATAATTACTGAGCAAAATTTTATGAAGTATAACTCTATGACAGAAAAAGTTGCAATCTGATGTGAATATTATTATTTTGATCATATTCATAAAAATTGTTATTGTTTATTTGGTTAAGTTTTAAAAAATTGAAGAGTTAATTTATATAACAAAAAATCAATTAAATATTCATCATAAATAGTTTACGCTATCAACTACAAATAATATTAATTATTAAAACAAAAAAAATTAAGCTATAGAAAGAAAAATAAACAAATGGAGCAAGTAAAAAATCACTAGGAACATAGTCTATTAGGTAGGAAGCCTTTAGAATACTATCAAAATAAAATCATGAAAGAAAAAAAAGGTGATATTTGGTGTAAAGATTAAAGAATCAACTATCCTGTTGGCGACGAGCTTCAATTTGATGATTTTTTTAAGATTACCAACAAAAATTATAGGATTTTTAAGTTCACTGTCGGTAAGAGAGTAGAAAACAGTTATATATGTGGATTGCAGTTCCACTACCAAAATATCCAAAACCCTGATGAAGTAGTATAAGGTTTTGCTTTTGGACCAAATGACTTATTCACTAATAATAAGTATTAAACAAAATCTTTTACCCTTTAAGATGATGAATTCATTGTAGAAATGAAAGGTAGAAAAGGTATGATTATAGACTGCTTTGGTGTTGTGACAAATAAAGGAAATGAGTATAGCTTTGGAGGTACCGGTGGAGGAGAATACTCTTAAAAGGCTCCTAAAGGTTACCACTTTACTTGCATGGGAGGCTACTTTTCACCAGGCTGGGATTCTATTAGTAGCTTTACCATGGAAGTTAGAGAGTTGCCATTTGATGATGGAGAGAATTAGCGTAGACTTCATTCCTATTCTCTTAAATCTTACAAGCCAGCTTTTAGAAAATTAGTTGATTTTCTTACTACATCTGAGGTAACAAAATTGTTTAGACTAAATAAAGATTTTGCCAGGTTCCGTCATGACGATTATGTCTTAACTAAAATTGGCTGTAGATGCATCTACTCTGGAGTCCCAAAATCAATTAAATACATCAAAAAAATGATTAAATATTGTCCATAAGATGAAGTAGCAAATGTATATGAAAAGATTATGAACTATTTCAATTTAATTTAAAATTTTGTCTCTAATCCTGATGGCAGAAGTGAATATGAAGGATTCTAAAAGGTATAGAATGGAGGAGATGGAATTACAATTTAAAAATCAGAAAAAGACTGTAATTTTATAACAAGTTATGGATGGTGCACACTTAAATGGTCTAAGAGCCTTAAAGAAATCTTCTCAGACAAATCAAAATATAACTTAGAACTTCTTATAGGAAAAATTCAATCAGGAAATTATGCAATTGTAGCAGGAGCATAAATTTGTGAAACAGGATTTGGAGGAGAAGCAAGTTTAAAGATAGAAATTTTAGGAGAAGATGAAAATGTTCTTTTCTAATTTAAAAGAGATATTAAAGATTTGACAAGAGAATATAAATTTTACAATCTAAAATACATCCACTCTTGGCCAGATAAAGTACCTCACAAGATTAACTTCTACATTTCTGGTAAAGATACATGCTTCTGGGCTGGGCACTATGGCGCTAAATTTAAATCAATCACTGTCAAAATTATTCCTATAGAGGATGAATAAGAAAAAGTTCTTTTTGAAAAATATATTAATTGAATAATTAGTATTTTTCTTTTCTATGTTTAGTCTTTAAATTAAGCAAAGCTTTTAAAATTATTTAAGCTTTATTTACAATTTATTCTATGAATTTATTATTTAAAACATATTTTTTTGTCTTAACTTTTCTAAATTTACTGTTTTGAAATTAATTGAAAAAAAAAGATATTTTAGAAACGTAAAATGACTTTAAAAATAATAATCAATATGTGATAATTATAAGCTTTATTAATTATCACTTCACCAAAAAAATATTTCAATTATAATCTTTCTATTAATTAAATTTACTTTTTTCAAACCATAGCAATAATTTAAAAAAAGTTCAATAACTCTATCGAATTCAAGAAAAGGTTTGCAAAATAAGTTAGGCAATTATGAAAATATCTTTAAGGAATCTTGCAATTTTATTTATTATAACTCTAAGTAAATTTTAAAGCGTTTTTCCATTTTTCAAGTTTTGGTTTTTTAAAGATTTAAATCTATTATAGGCTGAAAAGATTAGAGCAAATATACCAAATTATAAAGATATAAAAACTGATAATCAATTGTATGATGAGCTTATGGAAAAGGAATTAAAAATATTGAAAAGATAGAATAAAGGCAATAATTATGAAAGACCGTAATTTAAAAATTTAAATATAAATGATAGCTTGTCATTGGAGCAATCTTTAAGAATTTTAGAAAAAAGTATTCCAGATATTAATCAGTCTGAACAAAGTATAAGTAGCACGAAGAGCTAAAAAAATTTGAATAGCTTTTAATTTAATGATATAAGCGATTTTAATATTCCTTTGATAGATTCAATAGGAGCTGAATGTGAAAAAAATATGAATTTCAATAAAGATCCTAATCATATTTATAGCAATCTTAACTATGAAGAGTAGTTGAAAAAAGTTTAAAAAGAAAAAGAATAATTTAAGGCTAGCTAAATGAAATCAAATAGAGAAATTTTAATTGAAAAGCTAAAAAGTGAGCATGATGAATGCTTTTTCGGAATGACTCTATCAAGCTAGACTGTTGCTTACTAATCTTATAATGAATACTGCCAAAAGTAGAAAGAAATGAAATTAAACATTGAATTTTCAAATTAATAGTTTTAAATTAAGTTTAAAGGAAGTCATATTAAAACAAATGAAATTCCAGAAAAATATTTCACTGACCACTTGATATCATGTGGAGTTTAACCAATTAAAATAATTTTTTAACAAAATAATCCAATCACATAACATATTTCTTATATTTGTTTTGATTCTACAAACAAAATATCTAATCAAACAAGTAACGCAGTTGAATAAGAATAAGAATAATATTAAGAATAAGTCAAGCACACTGATTTGTGATAGCTTTTTTAATATAAAAAGGTTTAATAAACAAAAATTAAATATTTTTGAGTTTAATTGTAGTTTTAAGATTTATTTTATATTAAAAATTAATTATGGGTTCTTAAATTTTTCTAAAATATTTTTAATATTGAATTGTTTTCTTATTTTAGCTTCATATTTCTTTTTCTAATTATGAATCAATATGTCAAAAATTATATACATATTTTGGAATTATATTATAAATCTTTACATTTAAATTGAAATGTTTTTTGATAAAAAGTTAGAAATCGAATTTGTCAATTAAATTTATATGAAGAATATATAAAAATAATTTAAACACAGTTTTGTGATAATATTTAAAATAAAAATTATTATTAAAAAAATATATCTCAGAAATTTTTAATTTTTGATTTATTGTCTGATTCAAGGTTCTGATTTTATAATTCTAATAATAAATCGATATGTCAAAAATTATTTAGTTAATTATTAATTAAATACTAATTCATATTTTTATTATACTTTGGAATATTTTAAACTATTTTGAGCTATAAACTTTATTAATTAAATTAAGATGAAGAATTAAAAATATTTCAAGCCTACAGTTTTATGAAAATCATTCAGTAAAAAAACTTTTATAAAAATATTTATTAAAAAAATAAATGATAAATTCTAAATTTTTTACTTGTAAATTTTTAAATATTAATTTATAACATGATTCTATATTCTTATTAATAGTTCTAATTATAAATCTATTTGAAAAAAATAATAGTCTTTAAAAATTTATTTATTGACTTTTAGTTCTAATTATAAATCTATATGAAAAAAATAATAAATTATTTTGGAATTATATTCTAAGTTTTTAAAAATTTATTTATTGACTTTTTAGTTTTTTTAAGAAATAAAATTTATTAAGTAAAATTAGATGAAGATTAAAAATATTTAATCATAATATTTTATGAAAACCATTCAATTTAAAAAAATCTATTTATAAATCTTTGTTCTATTGATTTATTTGTAATTTAGAGTATTTATTTTTCATAAATTCATTTTTAGTTTTTTTGATATATTTGTGAATAAATTTATAAAAAAGCTATTCAAGAGATGATTGAATTTCACTACATATTTAAATAGTTCTAGTAATTATTATGTTATTAAATATTAATAATTATATTCTTTGGATTTTGGATTTGTATTACTATTTTTTAATGATAAAATTTTTAGTTATTATATATAATAATCATTAATTCAGTAGATTTGCTTCAGTGTTTGCTATAATAAATTTAATGCATAGTTAATTTAAATTTCATTAAAGAATTTTTAACCTAATTTTTACTTTTTTTGAAGTATTCTTTACTTTAAATGTTAAATTTTTGTTTAAATATATTATTATGTGCTTTTAAAAAATATTTTTAGATGTATATTGAATAGATTTAGATTTAAATAAAAAAATTGTTTTGAATTGAATAAATTTTATATTTATTATCCTATTGAATTTTTATGCTAAAGTAAAAAAATGGTATTTCTTTTAAATTAAATATCAAATCAGTATAACTTTTAATGCTTTTTTATATCCCTAATAATATCAGTAATATTTTGTGAACTGAATAAAATAATAAATATAATTTTATTTAATTCTTTATTTATTTGCTTATTTTAAATAGTAATTTACTTTTAAAGCTAAATTAATAGAGTAAAATATAAAATTATGTAATTCGAAGATATTGGTATTTTGTTTTTACCTATCTTTTCCTTTTCAAATATTTTCTTAATTTTAATTACTATAAACAAATTAAAACATCCAATTTTAGTTTAGCCAGAATTAAAACATCATCATCCACTTTTTCTTAATTACAGTAAAAAAAATTAAATAATAACCTGAAAATATCAAAGCGAAATTAACTTGATATAGAACTTTAAAATTATAATTCATGCTTACAAATACCAAAATATAATAAATAAATAGTAAGTAACTAAAATATAATGTGATGTATGAGTTTTTTAGCTTATTAAAAATATTTTGTAAACAACCTAGCTTGATTGAAATATTTTTCACTGTTCTTATTTATCTGTTCAAATAAAAAATGATATCGAAAAAAATTTACATTTTGATAACCAGTTATGATAAATTATAAGGAAGTAATTTTTTTTTTTTTAATCAGTTCCTAGTTATTACTATTAATTAATTAGCTGGAACAAACTTAAATACCAGCTTTCGAGTGGGGTAATCATAATAATATTCCTATTAAACAAGCAAACTTCTTTTATTAAAAAGTTTTAAAAGTGTCTTAAGATATAAATAATTTATGCTAATTATTAATATTATTAAGTTTTCTAAAATAAGATAATAATAAAGGTAATGTATAAGCTAGTATTGATTTATGCCTTTTTCTTTATGAGCGTAGTGCTTGCATAGAAAGGCAACACAAATATGTTAGGAGATTATGAATAGAGAGTTATAAATCTGACAGTAATACCGACTTTGGATGATAACTCGAACACATTTCTTTACAAAAAGAGAATTTCATTTAGTAAGCTATTCTAGGATGAGCCTTAAGTGCTTCTTACTATTCAAAGCATAGTTTTAATTCATGGAAGCGTTAATAGCTATTAAACCTAAGTTTAATCCATATCTACTGATGGATTCGACATAGTTGTTTAATGCTATGAAAAAGAAAGCGAATTCAATTTCATCTTTTTATATACTGCGTTTTAAAAATCTGATTATATCAAAGTATATTATTTATTCTCACAACCTACACCATCTCTACACGATTATGAAAGCTATTCAAGGTAGAAAGCATAAAACCAGGTTATTGGCTCAATTTAACTTAATGGGCATTTTTCGGCAAATCTAATTAACACAAGCACTTTTATTTTAGGTAAATTTTTAGTAAATATATGAGATAATACATTTAAATTTACACATCTATCAATAGATTGAATATTTAAATAGCTAATCACTTTTGCAAAATTTAATATGCTTAAGTAATTAAAGATTAAAGTTAATTTAATTAACTTTTTAAAAATAGGAGTTAAATCATCTGAGCAGAATTAAGACGTTTCCATTAAAACTTTCACTTAATTATAAGAAAATGGAAATAAATTAGATGTGTTTGCATCATGCTGGAACAACGTTAAAATCTAATCAGTTTCAGTTGCCATATTGATATGGAATGTGCCTAATTCATTTGTTGGAGAGTTAAAAGGAAACTAATATGATAGCTAATATAATACTTACAAAAGCCATCCTTGGATTAACACTAGATAAGATAACAGATATGCCACTATAAGTTGTGATACAAATGTAGATGGAGATACTGCTCTTTAGTTATTTAGTATATATGGACTACGAGGATATGACATTAGAGAAGGACCTATCGTTATAATAGAAAAAGATATAAATTTTGATTTCAAAAACAATTAAGCCTCTTCTTCTGTTGGAACAAGTAGCTCCTATTTTTACTTTACTTAATCAAATTTTAAATTTTATTAAATTTCTTCATTATTAAAATAGCTGGAAGAACAAAGTTAGTTGGTATTTGGATTAGTGCTGTAATATTAAGAGATGTAGATAAAAATTACCTTTAAGAGCAAATGAGTCCTTTAGTGCTCTGCCTAATAGTAGCTGGTTCTCTCGTTGGTGTTTTTATCATTTTCTCTATCTTCTACTTAAAGTTCTTCGGATAAAACTAAGATTTTAAGCATAAAAAATTTAGTAACAAGGATTTCAGCTAATCTGGAAGTGATTTAAATGGAAATAGTTAATCAATTCAAGGTCATTCCGTTAACTAATAAGGCGTTAACAATCAAAATAATTCTAAAGACGTAGTAACTTTGGAATTCCCATAGAAGTTTAAATAAATTCAACGCAAGAAAAATACAGCTGTTTTGCTTTCAAGGGACTTGTTAACAGGAGTAAAGTAATCTGAAAAAAATCCTAAAATTTACAATGAAAAAACTGTAATTGTTGAAATGAGTGAAGAATGCACTAAAAAAAATGTATTTTCAGAGCATTATAACTCATAAAATTTCTAGTCAGCCTTAGAAAAATAAGAGTCAAATGCAAAACCATAACTACAAAAACTGGAAGAAGAGGAAATAAATGATAGTCCTTAGTATGAAAAAAATTAAGATAATTAAATCTTCTTTAATAAGTAACAGTAAAAAGAAGATAATAGAGACAGTTTAAGCGAAATTTAATCAACTTTAGAAAATGAACATGGTCAAGAAACGACTAATCGCTGTTAACCAAAGATTTTATCTGATTAAGATCTAATATAAAAAGATAAATCCAGGTCTGAATCTATCACAATAGAAATAAATGCTTGAATCAAAATTTTTAAACAAAAAAACTCCCAAAAAAACTTTTTCAAAAAACTTAATTAATATTCTTAAAAATTACTAACAATAATACTGTATAAAATTAAATTCTTATTCTATTTGTAAATTCTATGTACAATACCTTAATCAAAATTGCAATTATATTTTCTATTTACTTAACCTTAATTGAATATTTATTTTTATCTTTTTGTGAAACTCTAATACTATTGAAGTTTTTGCTTCATGAAAAAAAGAAAGAGAAGTGTTTAGGAATTTTATATAAGTAAATTTGAATTTTTCATATTAATTATTGTAATTATTAATAAATCAAGTGAGTACTCTACTAACTATTTCTTAACAATTAATGATATTTGTTTTAATTGAATAATTACCAATTTAAAATATTTGTTTAATAAATTTTTGAATAATTTCCATATTGAATTAATAAAATATATTAATTATATTTACCTTACAAATAATGCAAGAGTTGTTTCACCAAAGAATCGTTTTATTAATTGATTTTATAATAATGTAAATTTATTCAAGCATTTTCATCTTAAACATCTTAAGCATATAGAGTGTAATGCATTATCATTAATCTTAAGGTTACATAATTTAGTATTATTAATTACATTAAAAATAAAAGTAAAAATTATATATAATAGAGAGTTTTATAAAAATATCTATTTGTTTGATTAATAAAAGAGCTTACTTTATGTATTTAAATATCTTTAATATGAAATGAATTATTAAATATATTTCTAAAGAAAAGTAAAATAAAATTTGATTTAGCTAATAATGAAAGATAGATATTATTTAACTTATTTTCAAGATTTTTATAGTTTGATTTTGTTAGAAAATCAATTATAAGTGACTGGATAATATTAAGTAAATAATATTAATGATTTACGATAAATACAAAATATAAAATACAAATAAATTAAAAAAGTTTTTTTTCAAATTTTACTAAATAATTCATATGGAATATTTAACTAAATAGAAGGATCTTCTTTTAATTAAATTACACCTTCAAATTTTTCTTTTATTACACTCTTTAATAATCCTATTTTTTTGCAATACTAACCTGGCTTTAGAATCATTACTTCTCCTTCTAATTTAGGAATTACTGTTTCAAGGAATTATTAATCCATTTAAATTACTACTTCAGGTTTTTTGATTAATTATATTTTTCCCTAAAATGGATCTTCTGAGTTTACTTCTTTAACAATAGCTTTTTCATTATAATACGAACCATTTTCAAGTTCTTTATCTTTAATTTTAACAGTAATGCCTTCCTATAACCAAGGAATTTCATCAAAAGCATCTTCCCCTTCTTATTATATTTAATCTCCATCTTATTAATTAATTTGTGTATTATTTTCTATTTTGTTTTCAGTAGGCACTGCTGCTTACTCATTTTCTTGATTTTATTAATTATTTTGTTATTGCACTGAAAATGAGATCAACTCTTCATCTTTATTTTCTTCTTCTTGTTCATCTTCATCTTCTTGTTCATCTTTTTTTAGATTAAAAGATATTCCAAACTCAAATTATCCACCTTCTAAATCTAATTCATCCATTTACTCATTTTTTGCTTCAATATTCTTATTCATTGTTTCTTCAAGCTTTTTGACATTTTGCAATTGACGCTCTAATTCCATTTGTTACATTTTTTCAGTTTTTTTTTCTAATCTCGCTCTTTTTTCTTCTTCTCTTTATTATTTAATAGCTTCTAATCCCTTATCTACATATGTGATAAATAAACCTCTATCGGTTTGATCTGCTGTTACTTTTCCAGTCTCATGGAGATACATCACAAATCCAGACAAAGTTGTCCATTTAGTACTATTCATATGAACATGCGTTTTGTCACCAATGTACTCCTTGTAAACTGTATTAGCTAAAACTCTTTTCTAATTAAATCTTTTTTTTAGCAAATCCATGAAGTTGTTTTCAAATTCTTTACTATAAGTAGACAAAAATTCACTAGGATTTTCAGCAAATTATCTCATATTATATAAATGTGTTTCGCTTTTTAAATGGCAATTAAAACCATTTTAATCCCTACACTGCTTTTTGCACATTTAACAATAAAATTTTAATTTCTAAAGACCTTTTAATTTCATTCTATTCGATATATCTTTAGGTGTTCCTGCTTCTGCTTTACCCATTTTTTTAAAAACTTTCTAACTATATTAACTTATTGAGTTTAAAAAACAAAACAAAAAAAAAAAATTAATATTAATTATTTTGTATTAAAAAGTGTTCTTATCAAAAAGGTTATAAATACTACTAATCAAATTGATCATACATTTTAGAAATTATATTTGACTGTCTATTTAAAAAATTTCCGATTTAATATCCAACCCTCTACCAATAACTTTCTTTAAAAAACTCAGAATAATTTATTTTTAAAATAATTTTAAAAATATATTTTGGTAATAAATTGAAAAAAATAATCTATCATATTTAAAGAAGAATATTTGAGTGCTATTTTTAATTTTTGTGGCATCTTTTAATAATAATTTTCTTTTGATTGATCTGAAACAAGATTATTTTGTTTATTATTTTTTGATTTTTTATAAATATAAATAAACATAAAGATATTAGTAAAACACTAATATCCAACCAAATATTCAAAATAAAAAATGACTAACTATAAATCGGCTTTAGAAGCAACATAATTTATCAAGTCAAAGATTAATAATTTAAACCCATAAATTGCTATCGTATTGGGTAGTGGTTTAGGAAATTTCGGAGATGAAATTTAAGATAAAATCGAAATTCCTTATGGAGATATTCCCCATTTCAAAAAAACATAAGTAATAGGTCATGCTGGAAAACTTATTTTTGGTAAAGTCGAAGGAGTAGAAATAGTTTGTATGTAAGGAAGATATCATTTTTATGAAGGGCATACAATCCAAGAATGCGTGTTCCCAATCAAAGTATTTAAGCTTTTGAGTAAATAAAAATTAAATAAAATTTATATAATAAGAAATTATTTATTGTAATACGCAATATTTAATTAATATTTCAATTTTTTATTTTAGATATTAAGATTCTTATACTTACTAATGCAGCTGGAGGATTAAATGATTCTTATGAAAGTGGTGATCTTATTCTAATAAGAGATCACATAAACATGCTTGGTATTAATCCTTTAATTGGGTTAAATGAAGAAGAGTTCGGACCCAGGTTCCCAGATATGTCTATCACTTATACTCCTTAGCTTTTGGAAAAGGCAAAAAAAGTCATGAAAGACTTAAATATATCTATAAAAACAGGAACTTATGCTGGCTTAAGAGGCCCTAATTATGAAACTCCAGCAGAAGTATAAATGCTTAGAACATTTAGAGCTGATCTTGTTGGAGCTAGTACTGTTTATGAAGCTATAGTAGCAAGCCATATGAACATACAAGTATTAGGTATTTCATGTGTATCAAATATGGGAGCTGGAATATCTAAAACTCCTCTATCTCATTAAGAAATTATTGATGTTTCTAATAGTATTAAATCTAAATTTTCGAATTTAGTTAAGAATTTAATTCCAAATTTGTTATGATAAAATAAATTTTTAAAATTAATTAAATGTCTGTTTAATAATTTTTGAATTTTTATATTGTACTTTACCTCATTAAAAATAAAAATGCTAAAATGTAATTTTACTCTGCTTACGGATTCATTAAAAATTAATTTTATAATATAATTTGTTATTTGATTATGTAATATTGTCAATTTTAAATTAAAAGAGAGGGATATATTAACCAAACAAAAGTATTTGTATTGATCTCAAGAAATTTGATCAGATTACATTAAAAGATTTAAAATGAATACAAAATGAAAGAAATTAAGTAGAATTATGTTGCTTTATTATTAATTTGAGAAATTAATATAAATTGAAAAATTTTCAAGATATTTAATAAAAAATTGTTAATTAAAAGAATATAAGCAATATTTATCAAAAATACTAGCTTTATATTTCTAATCATTTAGTAAAACTTATTAGGCTTTTCTGAAAAGCTAAAGTGTAATAAATAAAAAATGAGTAGATTATCCAAGTTAGGATAAAATCTATTGTCTAATTCTGTAAAATTATTTGATAATAGAATTGCTTTGTTTATTTATTTTTCATTTTTAGTCAAAAGATAAAACTGAAACCTCCACAAGATCAATAGCTAAATTAGATTAAAATATCACTTATTCTAATGAAAGTAAGTATAATTTACAATTTAGAAAGTATGAAATCAATAATCTTTTTGCTTCTATAATTTAGCTGCAGTATCTACTTAAGAGAGTGAAAAATTTTTGGACTCATATCACTAATGGAACAATTACAATTCAGTAAATAAATTAATAATGAATTAAGTTATTATATTAAAATATTTACTTATAAATAGCTACTTTAATACTAAAATAATGTAATCCTATAGAATTACTATACAAAGCAATAGGAACTTGAGCAGCACAATTAAAAATTTTTATATAATTAAATGAAAATAAAAGAAAAAGAATATGCTCTAATCAACCAAAAAATAGATTAATTAAAAAATTTAATCAATGATACATTTTAGAAAGAAATTGAAATTAAAAAAGATTTATAAAAACTTGAAATTTTAAATGGTTATACATATTAAAATACTCAATAAAATGAGTTAATTTAATTTAATGGAATTCACTATGACCAACTCGAATAGAATAGGTTAAAAAGGCTGGATATGTAACAAAAATTATAGTAGCTAATAAATTAAAAGAGTGTCCTAGAATAACAATATGATTTCTAGAGTATTTTAGTTATAATTCTATTTGTAAATCTTAGTTTAAATTTTTAATAGAATAATTTGCACCAATTGATAGAGAATAAGACTAGTCTTTCTAAGATACTAACCTATCTAAAAAAATAAAAGTTAATAAAAGCTAATAAATCAAAAGCTTTTAAAAAGTAGAATTAGAAATCCCACCATTTTATTTAAAAGACTTACAAAATAAATCTCCAAATATAAAGAGCATTTAAAAACCTATAAATATGCCTAATTATCATGATTTAAAATTGATGAGCTAATCATATAATTAACTTGTCGACTTACCTCCTTCAATATAGCAATAATTTGATAAAGTACCTAAATTTGCCATTAGTAAATTTAAGAATCGTAAATAATTATTCCAATTAAAATAATTAGTTTGTCTTTTTAAAGTTAAAAATATTTTAGTATCTTTTTCTATTTTAAAAAGATTTTTATATTAAAAATAAATCTTATTAACCAAATTAATAAAATCTCTTCAAAATATTTAAATAAATACAGTTAGTTAAAATTAGAAATTTAATTAAATATTTTTTATTTTGTTGATATTATTGTAAAATTAGCTAAATCTACTTAAAATTTTATTAAAATTGTTAATTCTTCTTATTTAAATTATTTAAAAATAATTAGTTGATGAATTTGTTGAGATTATGGCTAAAGATGTAAATAATGAATTAAATTTATAAATAATATATCAAGGAGTTTAAACTTAATCAACAGAGAATAAAAAATAGAGATTTGAAAAAGGCATTTAAAGAAGTTTATGATTTTGATCCAGATATTTATATTCAAAATGTTAAATAAGCTTAATATGGTAAAAATTTAATTATTATACCAATCACTATTATAAATATAATTAATATAAGATTAACAAAAGCAAGAAGTATTAAATTTAAGAGAGGAATTACAAAGGAAACAATATTTAGATCAGCTCAAAAAAAATAAAAACACTGACGAATAAAAAAAATAAACTGTTGTGTAAAAGAGCTCTCTATTTAAAAGTTAATAAAACTTATAACAAAACTAATCAGATAACGATGAAGAAGGTAAGATTTCAAAAAAGAGGTAGGTATTATTGAGTCATAAATAATCTATTAAATACATTTTTTAAAAAGGAAAAAATAAATAATTGGATAGTTTCGTAGAGTTGCCTTCTTTTTTGTAATTTTCAAAAAGACTATGCAATTTTATATTCATAATAAAAGAGATGTTTAAATGAAAAAAGTGTACAACTTAATTTCATAAGCTTTAAATGTAAAAAAATTAATTTTATTTTTTATTATTTAATGAAATATTTAACATTTATATAAAGGATAGCAAGTAATATATAAAAGTTTCTTGTGAAAGAGCTTTTAAGCTTTTAGTGTATGATAAAAAATTAAATATTGATTTAGAATTAGAGAAAAAATCAGCAAAGGAAGTCAATAAATCTAAAATTCAATAATTAAAAGTAACATAATTCTTTAAAACCAAAAAAATATAACACACTTAATTAATTTTAGAATATTGTGAAGGTTATGTTAGATTGCTTAATAGATAACTTGTCAGAATCATAAATTAGTAAAGAGTTAATACTTTTTTTTGCTAAACTAACAAAGCAATTTTCTTTTCCTCCACCTAATTACTTAACAAAATTTGAACTTGAAAGAATCCAATTTACCAAATATGGGCAATATTAGTAAATTATAAAATCTATGATTTATTATTTTTAAACATTTTTAGAACTTAAAATAAATCAGTTATGCAGATGATTATATTACATTTCTTCATAGTTAGAATTTTGCTTTAAGAGATTCTTAATAAGCCTTGGTCTGTTCTTGAAGGAGTTTAAGAAAATTAACAATTAAAGCAGTAAAAAAATAAATAAATAAATTATTTTTATCATTATTTAAAGAGCTTACATTTTATTTGTTTTTTTATAAAAAGAAACTGCTATTATGTTTGTGCCATAATCTAGTAAATAGTTTTGCAATACTTGAAAAGTACCACAGCAACATATAATGAATCTTAATTGCATGTTCTTAAAGAATTTCAAAATTTATAAAGGCCAGGTTTTATGAAAGCAAAAGTAGATGCCGTAATTTCAAGAGAGGATCAACAAGATTTTTAAAAATATGGAGAACCATTAATTTTAGGATTTCCTTCTGAATTAAATATGCAAGTAATATTCAGTGATTCATAATGGGCAACAGAAAGAAAAGAAACCCTTTAAGGTTTTGGTGATAAACTAGTTGAAATGGTCCTAAAAGTATAAAAAAACTTACCTGAATATCAGTTTAATATATTTTAGTAGATGGATGAATATCTTAAATCTAAAGAATTATGAAATTATTTGGACTATTATTAGATTTGTTCAAAGAATTAAGCATGAAAAATTGTGAAATTTAAATAATTCATATTTTATCTTGTTAAAATCAATTTTTTTATATAAAATTATCAAAAATTAATTTTGCACCTAAATAAATGTTTTAGAAGCTATTAAATAACTTATTTAAATCTATAAAATTAACTAAAATTAAGCAAATATATATTCATATAAAATATTTTCATAGTTGGAATTTATTAATAATTTTTAAAAATAGCATTCAAACGATAGTTAATTTATTTAAGCTATAAAAATTAGAGTTTCATTTAAGAATTGAATTCAAAGAAAATCTTATTTAAAATTTATTTGATTTTTGATGAAACTTTTTTAATAATTTAATTTTAAATTTAATAAATTTGATTTGTTGTTTACAATTTAATTTTTTTAAAAGTAAATTTTAATAAATCGAATATATTATTTGATAGCAGTAAATTATTTAAGATATTTAATTTTATACTAAATGTTAATGGATTTTTTTAAATAAATTAGAAATTTATGTTACAAACTCAGTTTACAAACAATCAGAATCAAAGTAAAATTTTTGATGTGTATTTTAATTTTTGGTAATAGGCATAAAATTTGAGTAATAAAAATGAATAATATTATGTAAATATAGAGGTTTGCGTGTATAAATTACACTTAAAAACTATTAGCAAATAAAAATAATATATCAAAAAATTAATTTTGCAATTCTTAAGAATATTATTAATTAAAATGAAAACTGGAATAAATAATTAAAATAAGGAACTTTTTGAGTCCTTTAAACTAGGCAATACAAATATGAAAAATAGGTTTGTTGTGCCTTCAATTAACAGATGCAGAGCAAATAAATTAAATAATATGCCTGTTGACTTAATGGGATATTTTTATATGTAAAGGTATCATAATGCTCTAATTATCACAGATGATTGTTATGTGAATGCAGACTATTTTCCATTTAAAGGGTTAGCTGGAATTTATAATGAGTAATAAACAAATGCATGGCTAGAAGTAGTTGATAAAGTTCATAGTAGAACTACAAATATATATTTGTCGTTATTTCATCCTGGGAGAGTAGTTAGTGATTCATAATTACCATAAGGAGTATCTGCTCTTGCACCATCTCAGATTTAGATTGAGGGAAAAAACATGTTTTGTAAAGATGAATTGTTTTCAGTCCCTTCCGAAATGACAAAAGAAGATATAAATAGAATTAAATTAGATTTTAAGAAAGCAGCTTTAAATGCAAAATAAGCAGGATTTGATGGAATATAAATTAATGCAGGAAACGGTTTTTTAATTGATCAATTTCTTAGAGATGGCTCTAATAACAGAAAGGATGAGTATGGTGGATCAATTCAAAATAGATGCAGATTTTGTTTGGAAATTATTGATGAGATTCTCACTGTTTATAGTAACGATAGATTATCTATTAAGTTATCTCCAATAAATAAATAATACAGTATGAGTGATTCCAATCCTATTGAGCTTATGGCATATCTACTAAAAGAAATTGAAAAGAGAAAATTAGCTTTTGTAGAAATTAAAAAAGTAGGTTATTTAGATATAATTCCTACGTAACAAAAATAAACAGAAATAGAATTTAGTAAATATAATCTTGAAGACCCTATGCCAGAATTTTTTAAAATCATAAAGTCATTTTATAACGGTAATATGATAGCAAATAGTGATTTTCAAAGTTTTGAAGAGGCAAATAGTTTAGTTAGAGATATAGGTTACTAAGCAGTTGCTTTTGAAGTTCTATCTATTACTAACCCTGATATTCCTTAAAGAATTAAAGAGAGAGGCAATATAAATAAAAACTTAAGATCAGTCTTCTTGTATAATGGAGATAGGAACGGATACACAGATTATCCATATTACATTGCACATTCTAAATTTTGAATTTAGAAAAAAATAATTAATTTTAGAAATATTTTCTAGAATATTTGTTACATATTAATTAAAATTTATAAATAAATAATTTTTAATTTATCAAAATCTAGTCTTCAAATGAGCTATTTATTATATATTTTATCATTAAATTACAAGATTTTTATCATAAATTATTCAGTATTTTCATTTGTAAAAATATTTTTTACTTTTTAATCTAAATTCATATCATATATACTTACTGGTACCCCTCCAAGTTAAGGCAAACCATATCCAAGTTAAGTTTTTAAAAATAACAAAAAATAAAAAATGAAGACTTTAAAAACAAAAAATTTTGATCAATTTAGAAATGATTAGTATTAAGGTTTATACTAAAGAAAATAAAATATTTATAATAAAATTTGAAACTTTTATTGATAAGCTAAATTTTTATTTACAAATTTTGAATTATTTTATTTATTTTCTTGTAAAATGAAAGAAGATATTTAATTTTATAAAATCCTACAACTTTCACATATTAAAATCAAAAATAATTTTTGTAGAAGAATAAAGAAACTAAAAATGTATTGAATGATAAAAAAAATAAAAAATAATTTTTAAAATGATTTTTAAATTTTATTTAAAGTATATTTAAGATGTGATGTTATTGATTTTTATATTTTAACTAATTAAAGCTTTAAAATTAAAATTAGTTAAAAATGAAAATAAAAAAATGGAAAATACTAATTATGTCAAATTGAAAGATTTAACACTAAAAGGAAAATATTTATTTAATTTTAAACACTTACAAAATATATAATTTCATCTTTGTCTAGCAAATCAATAAAATACATTGAAAAATATTTTTTTTAACTTGTCAAACAAAGCTGTTTTTGATTGTTTTTGTAGTGTATCTATAGATATTCTCAAAAAAGACTAAAAATATACAAAGAGCGGGCAAAAATTTAATTTAATCTTGCTCTTAAGCAAGGCGGTTTTCAAAAATTGAAGAATATTTTTTTAAGTTGTAAATTATTTTGAAAAGCGATTTGACGCAATAGTTGAGTTCCTAAATTATATTCTCCATTTATTTAAAAATTAATATTGAGTAAAAAGAAGTTTTTTAAAATTTCTTTAGAAGAGCGAAAATTCAGAAAGACAAAATGATTATAAAATTTATATTTTAATTATAAACAGAAAAATTAACTAATTTATAATTTAGATTTTCATAGCGAATTACTATAAATTTATCTATAACAAAAAAATATAAATTTTGGGAGGAAAATAGAATTTCAATTAAAAACTTAGAAAAAAGTAATTATATAAAGAGGTAGTTAGCAGTAATTCCAAAAATAATCATTTGGTTAGTATATTACATGAAATCTATTTTTATAATACATGAAAATGTTAGAAATATGAATGAATTTTAAAAGCGAAAATATAAACAGTAAAATTAAAATAGTTTAAAATATTCAAGTACACTTAAGACAATGTCTAATCAATGAAATAAAAAATGGCATATGCGATCAATGCAATGGCGTAAATTTATAGGACTAGCACTTAGAAAGAATATTATAACTTAAACATATCTTTCAGATTTTGCATTTAGATTTAAATTAAGAGGTGATTGAGAGAGAGCTTTTCTATAGTTTAAATGGAATAGTAAATGATAGAGAAGATCTATTATTTAATTTACAGAACACATCTTCGATGGTATTGATGAGGATTAAATTAAAGTGGGTAAAAAAAGAAAGAAAGTTTTCGTCTTTGAGTATACCTTTAAAAGATACTAAATTTTGATTGTAATCATAAAACAATAATTAAGAAAAACAAAGAAAAATCAAAAAAAAATTAAAAAATCAAATTCTGAAAAGTAAAAATTAAAAATGAGCGAGGAACAAAAGGAAGTAAAACAAGAAAAGACTACCGATATTGAAACCAACTGGTTCGAATCTGTTGATTCTTTCCACAAGTTATAACTTAAGGAAGATCTCCTCAGAGGTATCTATGGTAAGAGATTCATTTTCTAATATCGATTTAAATAACCTACTTCAATTCAAATTTCTTCTCATTCGTTCTGAGCAATTTTTAACCAAGTGAAGCAAACTGACTTGACTCTGTAATAAAAACAAAAGAAGTATAATAAATGGTTCTTCATAATTAAGTTTTGAAGAAATAAGTTTAAAATATTTTTGGGTTTTGTCTTAGAGGGCATGAAATGGCTTTGTGTATAGTAAAAACACTTCTTAATACTTGAACAGCTAAGAAGGTTGTTTGCCTATAGGAAAAATATGTGATAAAAAATGCCTAAACTTCAATTTCTTTAATGCATTTTTATTCAGGTTTAATCCCTTGTTAAAAATATATCTGTTGAACAACATGATTTTGTTTAAAAAAACTATAATTCTGAAGCATGATGTAAAACTAGCTAACAAACTAACTAACTAATATCACAGCATAAATATTCCAACAACAAAAATTTTAGATTTGCTAGTAAAAAATAATAGCTCAGATTAATAAAATGTTTTGAGTTAAAAAATAAATGATGATCTTGGTTGAGAAAAGCTTTAATTAATGAGAATTAGAAGAATTTTAAAAATTTATTTCATTAAATAACTTAAGCTAAATATTATTTTATTAAATAGGTTATGGTTTCGAAAAGCCCTCCCCCATCCAACAATGCGGTATTATCCCTATCATTAAGGGTAAAGATACTATCGCCCAAGCCCAATCTGGTACTGGTAAGACTGCTACTTTCTCTATTGCCACTTTATAAGTCATCGACACTAGCTCTCCCCACACTTAAGCTTTGATTCTTGCCCCCACCAGAGAATTAGCCCAATAAACTATCACCGTAAGAAGAATTTTTAATATTATAAAGCAAACACAAACATATATACATTCATACGTAGTTAGTCTTTATACTTTTAGAGAATTTTTTTCATTTTAGGAGTTAATCTTAAAAGAAATAATCTTTCTCTTTTAGAAAAAGTCTAATATATCAGAGAGTATCTTTCTTTCACTTTGTTGTATGTAACAGAATAGTCAAGCGAAAGATCTCTTTATAATTTAAATAGCATAGCAATTAATTACTTAGCAGCAAAATATTAAGAATATTTTTTAAATAAAAAGGTTATTATGTACTTAGGTGAATTCTTGAAGGTCTCCGCCTATGCTTGCACTGGTGGTACTGATCCCAAGGAAGATAGAAAGAGATTAAGAGAAGGTGTCCAAGTTGTTGTTGGTACCCCTGGTAGAGTTTTGGATTTAATCTAAAAGAAGACTTTAGTCACCGATCACTTAAAATTATTCATTTTGGACGAAGCCGATGAAATGTTAGGAAGAGGTTTCAAGGATCAAATTAACAAAATCTTCTAAAACTTACCCCACGATATCTAGGTTGCTCTTTTCTCTGCTACCATGGCTCCCGAAATTCTTGAAATTACCAAGTAATTTATGAGAGACCCCGCTACTATCCTTGTCAAGAATGATGACTTGACTTTGGACGGTATTAAATAATTCTACATCGCCTTAGATAAGGAAGAATGGAAGTTTGACACCTTAGTCGAATTATACAATAACATCGAAATCGCTTAAGCTATTATCTATTGCAACACCAAGAAGAGAGTCGATGAATTAAGAGACAAGCTTATTGAAAAGAATATGACCGTCTCTGCTATGCACGGTGAAATGGACCAATAAAACAGAGATCTTATTATGAAGGAATTCAGAACCGGTACCTCCAGAGTTCTTATCACTACTGATTTGCTCTCCAGAGGTATTGATATCCATCAAGTCAACTTGGTTATCAACTACGACTTACCCCTTAAGAAGGAATCTTATATTCACAGAATCGGTAGATCTGGTCGTTTCGGTAGAAAGGGTGTTGCCATCAACTTCGTCGTCCCTGCTGATGCTAAGTTCCTTAAGGAAACTGAAAAGTATTATCAAACTCAAATTGTTGAAATGCCTCTCGATGTCTCTCAAATCTACGAGTGAGAAAGCTATTAATGCTTTTTCGCTGGTTGATTATATCAAAACAGTTCTGAAATCTAAAATATAATTTAAACCAAACATTTAAACAGCATTATAAAATACATCCGTATTATTAAACATAAAAATCAATATCAATCATTATTAATCATCTATCATGCTAACTTATTATCAAATAATTCAATAATCTACATGAAATTACTTAAGTGTAACCCTATTGTATATTTAGTCGTATCATGGTATATATTTTTTGAATAAAGTTTAAACTCTGTCTCCTTCATTTTCTTTTCTCACACATTTTTTTTAGCTAATAACCTAAAGTAATCATAAAACCTCAAAAGCAGGTTATCTTTTCTCTTAACTAATGCTATTTTTATATATTTTACTGAAATTATTATTATAAATTAGGACAACTTCAAAATACAAAAAATATATTAGCCATTAAAATTTCATTGCAAATAAAGCCTAAGTAGCATATTTACAAATCATTTCATACTTTTCAATTTTTAAAAAATTGTTAATTAATGTACCATATAAGAAGTTTAGTTTTTAAGGTTAAATAAATACACTTCTTTATTTTGAAAAATAAAGTAAAGTATTTAAATATTTTTGTAAAAACTGATCAATTTCAATAGCATTTTACATTCATTGTGAATCAATATTTCTATGTAAATTTAAACAATTATAGAAAATTTTTTATCCATTTAATTTAAACTGTTTTTCTTCATTAAAATCAATCTTCAATTTCATTATGATGAACATGAATTAATAATTTTTTAAAATATACAATTCAAATATTCAAAAATAAAACAAATATTTTATTGTAATAAATTATAATCTCATCAAATTAAAAAAAGAATGTAAAGCATTTAAATAATATGAGATATTACTCATTGTTGATTAATTTTTAAATCATTTTAAAATATTTATAAAATAATACACTTAAAAATATAAAACTTGAATTGCATGTTATAATAAAATAATTAAAATTATATTGAAATATTCATAAAATAATTATTTAATATAAAGATTATTAATAAAGTAAGAGATAAATTTTCTTAGTAATATAAAATATTGAGAATAGCTTTATTAATGACCATAAATTAATGATTCTTTCTTTAGACGTTCTTCAAAAAATAAATTGTTGATGGTAATAAATTATAATCTCATCAAAATAAAATATACACTCAAAATAGATATAACCATTTTATACTTAATAATAATACTAATCAAAATAAATACATAAAATTAGTCTAATCTAGCATTTATGTTGAAATATTTAATTATAATTTTACTATAAATAAATCAAATTATTTGTAAAAACAAAAAAACCTTTTTTAATATCAATTATTTTAATCTTTTATTTTGAAAGAAATAGGAAAATATTTGCTTGCTTGCATAAAAATTTTCAAATATTTAAAAAGAAAAATAATCAAAAATTAAATTTAATTTGTTAATTTTTTTAAACATTCTCACATAATTTTCTCCAATTTTCTCATAAAAATTATTCATTAAAAATACAAATGAAATTATGGTTAAAACTATTTTCTTATTTTAATCCAAATTCTCTGAGTTCTTTTTCAATCAGATCTACCAAGGATTTCTAAAATATAAAGGAAAATATTAATAATGTCCAAGTATAGTTGGAGAGAGGCAATAATATAGTCATCGATTTCATATGAGTAAGTCTTGTTATCCATCAGTAATTATGTATCATAAATGATGTAAATTGAAAAAATGATGACACCAAAACAGCAATATATGATATGAGCAACATTATTGTTTGTAAATAGTAAAAAGAGACCAGCAAGACTAAAAACAAAGAGGCAAACAAATAGAAGACCTCCCATGACTGTAAAATCAGTTTTAGTTGTAAATGCATAAACAGTTAAAGCTATAAACATTGCTATATTATTAAAAATCAATTTAGATTATTATAAAATAAATCAAGAAATAATATAGAGCTTCTCTATATGGAAAATATTATTTAATTTGTTCATTTAATTTTTAGATGAATAATAAGTTTTTGAAATAAAAGTGTTTGTTTACCCATAGTCAAAAGAGCTGCCATAATAACAATTCTAGGGGAATAAAGAACACAAATCTAAGCAACGATATAAGACTCGAATAAAGTAAATAGGAATAGACATATGTAATTCGTAGGAACTTCTCTTGCGAATTTCCTGTAGCAAACAATCATGATGCAGAGGATTAAAGTCATAACAATTGAAACATAAAACAACCAAAGGTTAGAAGAATCTTTTAAAAAGCTATTAAATCCAGAGTTTTCAATTGCGATGAAGCACATAGCACAAGTAATACCAATTTGAACTGATAAAATAGAGTATACTTTAGTAATGAATTTCATTCTGGTGTCATGTCCTAATAAACCTTTAGAACTACCGTAATCATATCCAGTGTTTTCATTAGCCCCATAGTTAGGATAGTTGTTATTTTGACTGTAGGGTTGGTTCTAGTTCTCTAAATCTGCCATTTTCTAGAATATCTTTTTTGTTTTGTTTATCTAAAATATTTTTCAGAACTTTTCTAAATATAGATACAATAAATGAATCTTATTATCAATATTATTTAGTTAATATTTAATATAAAAATTTGATCTCTACTAATTGATAAGTTAATCGTTTTTTGCTAATAAAATTAATTAATTGAATCGTTTTTATGCAATATATTGTACATTTATATAAAATTGTTTATTTTATTTTAGAATATATTAATTTTTCTATCATTTTCAATAACGAAAATATGTTTAGACTCATCAGATATTATTATTATATATTTAATTTGAAATTATCTCAGCTTCTTATTTAAGAAATATAATATCTTTTATCTATTTTTTAATTATTTCCATATTTTAATAAAATATTTTTTCTAATCCTAAATAATCATATGAATAAATTATATTTTTTTAGTATTTATTATAATTTTTTGTTTAAAAATTTAACTTAAAATAAACCAGCTAATCAACATTTAATAAGCATAAAAAGTGCTAAATTACTTATTTAATATTCAATTTAGTCATAAATCAATTTTGAAAAAAAATAAAGAATGCTTTAAATTAAATATGTTTGAATCAAAAAATACTTTTGTTTCAATTCACTATTTTATTTTTTCAATTTAATTATATCAATTTTTACCTTAATTGAAATTCATAAAATTTTTAATAATTTGTAATAAAACAAAATATTTTAAATTATTTCAATTTGAGAGCTTATTTTTATCTAAAAGATTTTTAAAAATCTACAAAATTAAGTATGAAATAAACAAATTAATTTGCAACTATTATTTTAAAATAAATTAGTAAAATTATTCTAAACTGATATAAAATATTGTAAAATTATCATTTTTTATATATAAACTAAGCACTCATAATTAACTATACAAAATATATTAAATATTTAAACACTTTAAATGAATTAATAATTATTATTTAACATTAATAAATATGTTATTTCAAATACTGAAATCATCTAATTTAATTTCTTTTACTTTTTTAGAGGGAATACTAAAAGGATTTAGTGTATTAACTTACTTTTATTCTGGTTTTTTACTTTTTTCAACAATTTACATTTCTAATTTAAAAAAAAAAATTTAAAACTAATACAATTATTCAAAATTATTAATACCTCCATCATCATTTCCATCTTTCTCATCTTCAGCATCAGGAATTTTAGATTAATCTTCTTGATCACAAATCTCCTTTAATTTTCTTTTTTTATTCAAATCCTCAACAGGTCTTCTAATCCTTAACAGTTAAGATACAAAATATCTTTTTTATTAAGCCTTAAGCAGTTTTATATCAGACTCTTTATACCCTTCTTATTCTTCAGTCTTGATTTTTGATAAATTTACATAAGAAATTTTTAAAATTAAGAATTTTTACTTCTTTTGACTTTGGAAGCTCTGGTTATTTGCGATTAATAAGTTTCATGATACTTCTGGATTCAGACAAGGATTTAATATTTTTAACATCTTCAACAGCTCTTAAACCTTCAAAAGTATCCTCGGTTTTTTTGATATTGGTGAATTCTCTATCCTCTTCTATGTCATTGTTACTTTCATTTTAAAATATGTCTTTGATCAAATCTATTTTTTACGTGTTAAAATTATTTTATTATCCATAATTATTATTGTGTCTAGAATATATCAATTTTTAACATGAACTACTTTAAAAGATAATATTTTTAAGAATATTTAATAAGTTAACTTAATTACTGCGAATAAAGTAATTTTCCTTTTTGGGTTTGGCTATTTCTTCTTTGCCTTAATTATCTTTGTTAATTACTTCTTTGTTTTAATTTTCTCCTATGTAGTCAAGGATGCTGTTTAGTGTAATCTTCATATTTGTATCAACTTCGAATAACAATTAAAAGATATTTGTTTCATTTCTTCCTTACAATTAAGTAATTCTTTTAACTTTAACTCCAATCTTTTTAATATCTTTTAAACAGAATAAATATTTATCAATACAAAATACTAAATTACATTTAATGAGCAAATCAGTTAACAAATTAATTGCATGCTCTTGTGCTTTCTTAAATCCTTTAAGTAATATTTTGGTTTTAGCTATTATTGTATTTAAATTTAAAAAAATAAATTATACCTACAGAAATCAAATATTAAGACAAGAATATTTTCATCTATTGTTTAAAATAAATTAATTAAAAATCTAGCATATTGCTTTTAATCTTTATTATGTGCATTTTACTAGTTTAACATTTGTATCTGAATGTCCTTTGTTTTCTGAGAATGTTAATTCCTACTTTTATTTCTACATTTTGGTTTCTTGCTAAGCTTTTTCAAGTTTTAATTAAAATTTCTGCCAAATATATTTGAAATCTTCTTATTATTATCATAAAAAAGTGTTGTGTTTGTTGCTATTATTTATTTAATAAGATTTTCTTAAAAATCTTACTTCTAATTAATTGTAAAATTATATCTAAAATATATCAAAACATTATTGATGGCTATTTATATACCAACTTTAAAACAAAATGCACATTAAACATTTGTTATGTTTATAAACAAAAAATTATTTACATTGAGATTTTATAAAATATATTATTATTTATTTAACATATTTAGTTAGTTAGTTAGTTATTTACTTTTTTAGGAAAAAAATTATATTAAATGTCTTCATATATATTTGTTTATTCATCAAACTTCTCTTGAGTATGATTTAAAAATTATTTTGAATATTGAATGGAATTTCTCAAACATCATCAATTTGAAGTAAACCCAAGCAAGTCTAGAGTAGTACCCAATAAAAGAAGGATTCAACACTTAAACTACAAAATTTGTAAACTTTACTGCTCTATCTCTAGTAGTTCCACCTAAAGTAGCATTGTGGATAGCTATAATGTTATTAGCTCTGATCATAAAAATCATTTCAGGAGGAAGATCTTGAACAAGTAAGCTAATTTTTTCAAAGCTTATCAAGTTTTGCTGGTAGAGAATCTTTCTATCTTCCTTTCCCATTCCACTACCTAATTTTGTCTTACTTTCCATAGTTCTAAACAGGAAAATCACTGGTAAATATCTATAGTGTTATCCTATTCCTAAAGACTCAGCTATTTTTTTCATTCTAGTATAATTGAATGTTACTAAAGAATACCACAACTCACAAAAGTCTTTTTATATTTAAGGTGGTACATCAACATAAAATCCATGATCAATTAAAACTATTTAAGGTTTTTTCTATTACAAATTTATTTTTTTCAATAAAAATTTTTAAGTAAATTTTTAAATAAATTACAGGATCATTTGGATGTTATCTTACAAAAATATTTCCTGGGTGAGGATCTGCATGCACATGCTAAATAAATAAATAAATTAAAAGTATTAATAATTTTTTTATTGATACAATGATTACAGCTGTTTTAAAAAGCATTCTTCCCATAACATCAATCAAAATATTTGCACATTCTAATGGTTTAAGGTTCATATTTTCTATCCCTTTTTTATCATTAATCTAAATAATCAAAAAAAGTTATTCATTGTATTTAATTTCAATAAAATAGTTTATTTAAATTATCTATTTTATAAGTTTGTAATAACTAATTTACCTTAACACCTCTAACAAATTCCATAGTCAAAACTCTCTATGACATATTATCATGGAAATATTAAGGAATATATAACTAATCGTAGTTTTTAAATTGCTCTCTTGTCAAATCAGCATTACTTCTTTCATTGTAAAAGTTAAGCTCCTATTAAAATAAAAATAAATTTAATTTTTTAACTTTAAAATAAAATTTAAGTTACTTCTAAAAGCACTTTTTAGAAATTAGAAAACTAGTCATGCATTTTTATGTTTTTAAAGTCTGGTGATTTTTGCAAAAACCAATCACATAATTTCACAATTTAGCTAATAACAGTTAAATCATAGTGAGTTTAAGTACGTAAAAAAGGAAACTGTATTTTAACAGCGACTTCCTATCCATTTTTTTTCAACTTTGCCCTATGCACTTAAGCTAGAGAAGCTGCTGCTATAGCTTCTTTATCAAATTCACTAAATACATCTTCTATTTTTCCAATATCTTTTTCTAATACTACTTTTATTTCTTCAAATGGTAAACTTGGTCCACTATCTTAAAGCACTTTTAACACATCTGTATATTCTCTATTAATTTAAATTAATAATTATTATTTTTATTTAGTTATAAAAATTCTACAATCAAAATGCATTGCATAATTAAATGACTTATTTATTATTTTATTTAATAAAATTAAAGGATTCTAAAATAGGGTTACTTTGGCATTATTCTTTCAAGATTTCCAAGATATTAGCCAGCTTTAAGATAAATACCTCTATTAACTAAACTCAGTTCTAAAATTTTCTTTGCCACTTATGTGTGAATCTATATTCAAATTCAATATATCTAACATTTGTTTATGGTTTACTTAAATTAATATTACTTCTTCTCTTCTGGCTATGTACTCATCTGTATTATAAACTAAATCTCCGAATCCTGTCTGGTAAGCATATATGCTTGAACCAACTAGTTTAATAATTTTTATTTATGCAATGATTGCTTATTTTGATCTATTATTGATTACCTATGTAAGCAGCTCTGAAAGAGTTAAAGAAACCATTAAAGATACCTTAAGCATCCCTTTTTGATTATTCATCAATGATGAATTTATATGTTACTAACCCTCTAATTTGTTAAAATAGATTTAATGTTCATAAGATTTAAAGGATTTTATAACTTTACCCAAATCCTATAACTGCAGATCTCTTTATAAATTTTTTAAACATAGCTTCAACTAAAACAATAACCTATATGCTTGAAAAATTATATAAATTATGTAGATGTAAGATTTGATTTTTTATCAAAAATTTTATTAAAATTGTCAAGATATTTCAAATTAGCACTATTAAATAAACAAAATCATTAATTTTGATAATATCTAGAACTTACTAAAAAAATAAGCTCGATAGATAGATAGATCAAAATGAGTGAGTTAAAATTAAAATTTAAATAAATTTTTTTTGTATATGAGATGGTTCTTTTTTATATTTTAAATTAAAATTATATAAATAAATTAAGTTAGTTTAAAAGACAAATGTTAAATAAGAATTATAATTATATCTATTAAAATTAGCATAATAATTTTGTGTGTTTGAATGAATGCTTATTGTAAAAACTTATTAATAACGAGTTATAAACAAGGAGAGCTTTAAATTTTATAAATATTTTTAACCTTTTAAAAAATAATTAAAAAATTTTATTATGAGTGAATGTCTAAGTTGTAAGATATGAAGTATGCTAAAAATATAAATTATTCAATATAAATTTTACTATTTTACTAATATTTAAATTTTAATTTATATTGAATAATCCAATAAAAAAGAGTATTCGTAAGTTAGTAGGATTATATTTCTGATATAAATATTCTAAAATCAATTATTATATATTAAGAAATTTTATTAAAAAAGTTGATAATGTATTGAGAAAAGCAATATGAAAATAAATAACAAAAATAAACAAAATTAATTTCAAAGCTAAAAGTAAAAATGATTAAATCACTGGCTCTAAAGTTATTTGTTTCTTTCATTTTTCCTTCTTCTTATCAGGATTAGATTAGATTTTATATGTAAGATAGCAAATTATTAACAAGAGCATTAGAATAGTCCAGAGACTAGCCTTGAAAGCATAGTCTTCAAGTACTACTTAAGCGTATTGTGTAAGGACATAAATATAGAATTTGAAATTAGCCATCAGATTATCAATTACGAGATAGTCGTTTCTAAGCTTTTCTGAAACAATGACAGTTTACTTTTCTGCAGAAGTGTAAGAGTTGACAGCGATTATATCGCTTTCGTACCCTTATTCGTACATAGCTGTTAAATCGTTTACAACAAAGTATTTTACAAATTTAAGGTTAATTTTATTCTCTTTCAATTAAGAGAGTATATTTTTAGGAGTATCAACAACCACCTGTTATTAAAGATGATGTAAATTGTATCCCTAAGAAAAGATAGATTTTAATTAGGTTATGTCTTCATTGACACTTTACACACTTTGCTCATCCTTAGCTAGAATTAAAACTTTGATCTAATTTTATTCTTCTTCTACTGGATCTATCTACAGAAGAAACATTATAGCAGGGATTAAAAACATCATATTAGTAGCTCTATCAGCTAAATGTTAAATAACGTGATTCTCCCCACTCAAAATTGAAGGTAAAACTACTTTTTCAAGAGGGGAAAGGTTCTCTCCAAAGCTTTTTGTAAGTAAATTTTTAACTGAGGCAACTATTGGAAGATCGCTCCACTTTTCTAATACTTTCAAGTTTAAAGGAGGAGCGCCTTTGAAGAGTAACTAATAGTTAGTTTTCTCAAGGGTAGATTTAAAGTTATGAAAATCTTGGTTCTAAATTGAAGTACTATTCATTTAAGAAAGACTTGAAAGATGAATAAATGATCCTATTTAAGGGATGTTTTAATTATTATTATTTTATGGTAATCCTAGCTTTTCTTCATTACTAGGGGCTATTAATCTAAAATTGGCATTTTATCTTCCTGGAATAAAAGATATTGCTTAAATTTTGCTCCTCAAGTATGCTAATGGCCCTTGATTTTATTAATTATAAGTGCTATTTTAAAAAAATCTAAATCTAGATAAAAACGATTTGAGTAATTTCATTTCTATTTTCTTTTATATTGTCTTTTCTTTTGTTGCTTTTATTTATTTATTATTTTTAAAGCTACAAACAATTCTACCTTTTTATTATGCATGCATTTAAGTATCTAACTATCTGATAACTAGTTTAATAAATAAGATTTCTATTCCATTATAAAAACAAACTAAAAAATTATCTAATAACAATTTAATATATTATATTTTATTTGATAAATAATAAGTAAGATATTGAATTAATAAATTAATCAATCAATTTATTGATACATCATCAATCCATCACTCTAAAATTTCAAATATTTTAAATCTTTTCTATTATTTTTAAATCTTTTTTATTAAAATAATATGAATATTTTTTTTAATTTTACAATTTAAGATATTGAAAGTTTTAGTTAAATCACAAAAAAGGCATTTATTAAAAAATATTTATAAATTTAAAATTATAAATAAATTGTTTATTTATATTACACTCTTTGTATTTCAACAATTACCGATGAAAAAATTAATAGTAAAGAATACTCAATAGTTAAAAGCAGAAGAAAAACCTTAAAGAAAACCACTTAATGCTGAAGAGAGTATGTACATTTATGATTATTTTGAAGGAACTAAATATTCTTAAAATAAAGGTAGGGAAAAGTACATGAGCCTTGTAAGAAAAGGAGTTATTTAGATAAAGTATTAATCATAAATAAATTTAAAGATGCATTAATTAATTCTACTCAACATAATCATTTTGATCAAATCAATTTTATTAATTAAGACTCCCAAGTAGCTATCCTCCCATGTTTCATACTTGGGAAACTTACAAGGATTCTAACTCAAAAGATGTTTCACTTCTTTACAGGAAAAATATAGCACAACATTTAACTTATTTACATGAAAGTGTCAAGCCTATTGCAAGGTTTTATTAAATTCATATTTAGTCAATAATTCATCCTACTAATTTTGCAATTAAAAAAAGGGAATTTGAACTTTACTATTCACTTTTTACTGAAGGACATCCTAGTATAGTTGGACACGCATTTACTAAAAAAATTAAAATTCTCATTTCCTCACCATTAGGTAAATTAAAAAAATAAATTAATTCTTAAATTATGTTTTTAAAATTATGTAACCTATTTGTTTTAAATTTTGTAAAGAAAAATAGAAGGAATATCTTACAACCTACCATGTTTATATTAAGTTAAGAGATCCTAATAAACCAAATGATAGCAAATTATTTTTAAATAAAACTACTTCTATGGCTATAATGCTTCATGAGTTAGCACATCTTAGGTGTTATGATCATTCTTTCAATTTTGCTTTACTTTTAAGAGATATATATAAATCTGCAATGAAGTATCTATTTCAAGAGAATTAATTATTTTAAAAAACATTTTAACTTAAAAAATATTTAAAAGATTAAATTTATTTCCAAATCAATCAGAGGAGCACATGATTCCTAGTCGTAGGACCTGGGAAAGAGTTTTGTTTGAAAAAAAAGGTAATATGACTGATGAAGAATTGAAAGTTGTTTATGATGAATTTATAAATAGTTAAGAAAATAATAATAACTAACTAGACGATAGCTTAATTTAAGAAGATAATACAAGTAAAGAAAAGGAAAATAAAATGAATTAAGAAAATATTTTAACATGCTGTAAAAACTAGAACTAAAATTTAACAGATCTCTTAAATCAAGAAAATAGTAAAATGGAAATAGAATAAGAAATAAATGATAATAATAATAAAGTTACTGATGAAGAGAAATAAAATCCTTCAGTCAAACTAAATATTGGTCTTAATTCAAGAAAGACATTATTAACAAATTCACAAACGTTATTAAATAAAAGTAGTGCATAAACTGCAAATAAGTTACCTTTGATTAAAAATTTATCTTAAAATTAAAATAAAATAGCATAAGAATAGACCTAATTAGTTAAAAATAAGTATTCTATCAGCCAATAAAGTTAAAGGGCTAAATTATTATCTACAAAAACAAATCTATAAAAAAAATAATTAAATAAAAGCCAAGAAAAATTACAAAAAAATTGATTTTAATTAAATAAATGTAAACTTTTTAAATAATTTATATTTGTAAATCACTAAAATTCTTCTCTATTAGGCGTTTTTAAAAACTCTTATAGGGCAAAGCTTATTTTCAAA